TGCCACTGCTGGTCGCCGTCTGTGGGGCGATTGGGTCCCCGCTCGCACCTACCTTGGCCTGGTGCCGCCTGCTCACCTGCTCCACCATCCTGCTGTGGTCCCACTCTCGTCGGGGCCCTTTGGGGCCAGTAGTGCCTGCACTGCCGCCCGCTGCCAGCATCACGTTGCTGACGCCTGCCATGTTCCATGTCTGTCCCCGGTGGTCAGTGCACGTCATAGTGAGTGGTTGAACTCCCAGTTGAACAATTTGCATATTAGGATTTTATTATATAGGACTAGAGGCCTGGTGCACAAAAATATGTGCACTTGAGGGGGGTCCCTCAGCCCGGCCTGTACCCTCTTGCAATCTGGGACCCTTTGGGGGATGTCCACCTGCTGGCTTAGGCCCGCTCCCCGGGGGATTGGGCCTAAGCTAGCAGTCAGACATCCCTCTGGCAGCCCAGGAGCCCTCGGGGGACCAGGCCTAAGCTGCAGTCAGACATCCTTAGCACTGCTGAGGAGGCAGGAGAGGCTCCCGCCATCACTGCTGTGCTGGCAGCCGTCAGCCTGGCTTGTGGCTGAGCAGAGCTCCCCCTGTGGGAGCACACTGACGACCAGGGGGCAGCTCCTGCATTGAGTGTCTGCCCCCGGTGGTCAGTGTGTGTCCTAGTGACCAGTCATTCCCAGTCATTCTGCTGTTAGGGTCAATTTGCATATTACCCTTTTATTATATGCCTGGTGCATGGGTGGGGGCTGGCTGGTTTGCCCTGAAGGGTGTCCCGGATCAGGGTGGGGGTCCCACTGGGGTGCCTGGCCAGCCTGGGTGAGGGGCTGAGGGCCGTTTTCAGACTGGCCACACCCCTTTCAGGGAGGGGGGTCCTGCTGGGGTACCTGGCCAGCCTGGATGAGTGGCTGATGGTTGTTTGCAGGCTGGCCACAGCCCCTTCAGGGTGAGGGTTCCTGCTGCGGTGCCTGGCCAGCCTGGGTGAGGGCCTGAAGGCTGTTTGCAGGCTTGTCAAGCCCCCCAGCAGGGAACCTCACCCCCTTGAAGGTGTGGCCACCCTGGGTGAGGGGCTGATGGCTGTTTGCAGGCTGGCCACAGCCCCCAGCCACCCAAGCTCCCAGTGGAGGCTGACTGGAAGCAGGTATCTGTGGTTTATTTATCTTCTCTCATTGAAACTTTGTTGCCTTTAACAGAGGCCACAGCCAGCCAGGGCAGGCGGGAAGCTTGGCTTCCTCCATTGCCGAGGCAACCAAGCCTCCTGCTTGCTCCAGCTCCGTGGCTGCCAGCTGCCATCTTGGTTGGGTTAATTTGCATATAGTCGCTCTGATTGCCTGGTGGGCATGGCTTGGGGTGTAGCTAAGGTATGGTCAATTTGCATGTTTCTCTTTTATTAGATTAAATAGTTGTCATTTCTCTGGTGACTAATGATGTTAAGCCTCTTTTAATGTTCCTTATTCTCTATTGCCTTACTGGCTATTTGAGTATCTTTTAGAGCAATGTCGAGTTTTTTGCCCATTTAAAAATTTTTGTTGTTATTCAACTGTAACAGCATTTTATATTTTCTAAATGCAAGTTATCATATCAAATACATTATTTGCAAATATATGATTTGCAGATATTTCCCTCTATTGTATAAGTTGCTTTTTCACTTTCTTAATGGCAGTCTCTTATTGCTATATTTTTAGTTCTGTTAATCTAGATATGCTTGGTTGTAAATACAATCTTATGTGTTTCTTAAGTTTCCCTCCATTGTTCCTTATCTCTATACCTCTTTCCCATTCCCCTATTGTTTTCACTCTCTTACAGTTTTCTTTTTCTTTCTCCGTCTACTTTTTTTACTTCCATCTACTTTCTTAAACTTATATTTACCATCGGACTTTCTAAACCCATTAGCTTACTGAGAATGAAAACTAGAAGTTAGTCAACTTTTTTCTAATACTTCCAGTAATTGATCTTCTGTGGACTGTACCTGTTCTCAATGTTATAATACACAAATCTAATAAATATAAAAATTAATATGCAGCAAGGATTATTTTGCTTTCTATAGATCATTATTTCAAAAGTACATGAAGTGATGCTTGTAAGATCAATTTGCAGTGAGTCTATAATTAGGTAGCTTCTGTTTCAATTAAAAATAATTTATTGTTGAGAGTATTACAGATGTCTCCCTCCCATTGCCCTGCTCAACCTGGTTCTGCCACAGGCCTCACCATCGTATTGTCTCACCACCATATTATTTGTGTCCATAGGTAATGCATTTACATTCTTTGGTTAATCTCCCCCGCCACCTACCCCACCCCACCTCTTTCTCTCTGAGATTTGTCATTCAGTTTCATGTTTCCATGCCTCTGGTTCTATTTTATTAATCAGTTTATTTTTTTAATTTGATTCCTTGTTCGTCTATTTTGACTTTTAGATTCAATTGTTGATAGGTATGTTTTTATTGTTCATATTTTTGTTCTTGTTCTTCTTTCTCCACTTCGTAAAGAATACCTTTCAACATTTCATGAATTACTAGTTTGGTGATGATGAACCCCTTAGCGTTTTCTTGTCTGGGAAGTTCTTTATCTGACCTACAATTCTAAATAATAGATTTGCTGGGTAGAGTAATCTTGGTTGTAGGTCCTTGCTTTTCATCATGTGAATATTTCTTGTCACACCTTTCTGGCCTGCAAAGTTTCTATTGAGAATTCAGTTGACATTCATATGGGTCAGGGGTGGGCAAACTTTTTGACTCGAGGGCCACAATGGGTTCTTAAACTGGACCGGAGGGCCGGAACAAAAGCATGGATGGAGTGTTTGTGTGAACTAATATAAATTCAAAGTAAACATCATTACATAAAAGGGTACGGTCTTTTTTTTTTTTTTTAGTTTTATTCATTTCAAACGGGCCAGATCCGGCCCACGGGCCGTAGTTTGCCCACGGCTGATATGGGTGCTGTCTTATGGGTAACTGACTGTATTTCTCTTGCTGTTTGAAGTTGAATCTCTTTACAATTTTCTCTTTTTATTTAATCTTTGGCATTTTAATTATGATGTGTCTTTGTGTGGCCCTCTTTGGGTTCCTCTTGTTTGGGACTCTGTGCTTCTTGGACTTGTAAGTCTATTTATTTCACCAGATAGGGGAAGTTTTCTGTCATCATTTCTTCAAATAAGTTTTCAATATCTTGCTATCTCTATTCTCCTTCTGGCATCACTATAATACGAATTTTGTTATGTTTAAAGTTGTCCCAGAGGCTCCTTACACTATCTTCATATTTTTGGATTCTTTTATTTTTCTTACTGCTTTTCTGATTGGGTGTTTTTTGCTTCCTCATATTTCAAATCGCTGACTTGATTCTTGGCATCCTCTACTGTTGAATCCCTGTACATTATTCTTTATTTCAGTTAGTATATGCTTAATTCATGACTGATCCTTTTTCATGTCTTTGGCGTTCTCATGAAGATCCTTGAGCATCCTTATAAGCATTGTTTTGAACTCTGTATCTAGTAGTTTGCTTGCTTCTATTTCATTTAGTTCTTTTTCTGGAGATTTCTTCTGTTCTTTCATTTATAACATAGTTCTTTGTCTCCACATTTTAGCTACTTCCCTATGTTTGTTTCTCTAGATTAGGTAGAGCTGCTATGTCTAATGGAATTGGTTGAGCATCTTTTTAAAGTAGGTTTCCTATAGGACCCAGTGGCTCAGCCTCCCCAGTCACTTGAACTGGGCACTCTAAGTGTGCCCCTGTGTGGGCTGTGTGCACAGTCTTGTTGTAGTTGAGCCTTGATTGCTGTTGGCATCACTGGGAGGAGTTGACCTCCAGGCCAATTGGCTGTGAGGACCAGCTGCGACTACAGCAGAAGAGCTGTTGTGTATGGGACACCCCTATGGAGCAGGACTTTGCTCAGTGGGGCTTTGGTGCTCATTGATTCTGCCCCTTGAGTTTGTTGCTCATGGATGTGTAGAGTTATAATCTGGTGAAATCTGAAGCTGTCTACCAGGACCTCCAGGGAATTGCAAAATTAGCCACTGCCCAGGGCCACCTGTCAGGAACTACAGAGTGATCTGCCAATGGCTGCTACTTGTGGTGGGCTTGGAAGTACCCAGGCAAGGCCAAGCTGTGAAGCAAGGAAAGCTGCTGCTAGTGTTGGGTCTTAGGCCTCTTATTGATAGGTCAGTGGCACGCTGATGTCTGCTGCTGCTTGTTTGAGAGGTTTTAGCTAAGTTTGATGCCTGAGCCAGGACAGGCCACTCATATGGAAAAGCCTCTTGTGAACAGCTTGAGTGAGACTGCAAATGTGGTGGTGTAGGGTCTCAGGGAATTACCAGGGTGGAGTGAACAGTGTGAGCCAGTCTGATGGAAACTCAGATATGGCTGCCAGTCAACTCTGTGATGAAGGAGATCTCAGCATAGGAACAATGACCCTGCAAGCACCCCTGTTTGACAGAAAACTGCCCCCAAGTAGTTGTTCCTATGCCAGACAATCCAGTTCCTCCCCAATTTTCTCTGGATCCCCTCAAGCCTTTATGCTAGTGCTGGTCCTCAGAGGTAGTGAGTCTGAGTAAGTCCATCTGCCAGCCCTTTAAGAGGAACTGCCTGGGTCCCCAGCAGCCTCCATGTCATGCAGCCATGTTCCCTGCTGGTCTTTATAGCTCAGAGTTACAAAGACTTCTCTTTCTAGCCCTGCAACCCTGGGTTGGGATCTGGTGTGGGGCTGGGACCCCTTACTCCTCACAAGAGACCTCCACTGTTTAGATATCTTTCTGATGACAAAAATGCCACATGTGGGTGTTTGACCAGCCCGGTCCATACCTCCGCCCCTCCTACCAGTCTCAGTGTACATTCTTCTTTACTTCTCTAGTTGTAGGACTTCCATTCAGCCAGATTTCAGGCGGTTCTGAATTATGGTGATTCTGTATTTTAGTTGTAATTTTGATGTGGTTGTGGGAGGCGGTGAGTATTGGCGTTTACCTACGCCATCTTGGTTCTCTTGTTTCAATTATTAAACTCTGTCTCTCTCTTTCTTTTTAAAGATTCAAAATGGATAGTATAGAAGAACCTCAGAAAAAAGTCTTTAAGGCTCGAAAAACAATGAGAGTGAGTGATCGTCAACAACTGGATGCAGTGTACAAGGTCAAAGAAGAACTATTGAAAACTGATGTCAAGCTGTTAAATGGCAATCATGAAAATGGAGATGTGGACCCAACCTCACCTTTGGAGAATATGGATTATATTAATGACAAGGATGAGGTGAATGGCCTTGAAGAACTTTGTTTTAATCCTGAGAAAAGTAAATCAGAATGGAAAGAAACACCTTGTATCTTAAATGTTAATGTAAAAAACAATTCAGATGATGATTTAAAGCATGAATCTTTGTCTCCTAGTAGTAAAACTCCTGAACTAAACTCTAAAGTGACCACTGAACCAGCTCCTGGTGATCCACCTTCAGGTGATTTGGATACTGGAGATCTGCCAGCCTCTGGAGATATGGCCTCTGAAGTATCAACCTCTGGTGATCCCACCTCTAGTGATCCCACCTTTGGTGATGCCACTTCTGGTATTCCAACCTCTGATGAGCCTGCCTCTAGTGATCCCGCCTCTGGTGATCCAGCCTCTGCTGAACCCGTCTCCGATGAGCGGGTCTTTACTGAAAACTCAGATATGGCTGCCAGTCAACACTCCAGTGAGCTGGTCGCTGGTGAACTGATGTCTGGGGAGCCAGTCTCTGGTGAACTGGTCTCCAGTGAACCAGTCCCTGGTGAACTGGTCTCTAGTGAACCAGTCTCCAGTGATCCAGTCTCTGATAATTCAGCTTCTGATGATCTGGCCTCTGGAACACTGGCCTCTGATGATGCAGCTTCTGGTGATCTGGCTTCTGGTGGTCCAGCCTGCGGTGATCTAACTTCTGGTGATCAGGTCTCTGGTGATCTGGCCTCTGGTGATCTGATCTCTGATGAACCAATTGCTGATAAACCAACTTCTGAATCAGCCTTTGATTCCACTTTTGAATCGAGTTCTGTACCAGTTTGTGTGCCAGTTCCTGACACTGACAATACAGAACCTAGTAGCAATAAAGGTGATGATTTTCTTGAACAAAATGGGGATGATGAAAAGTTAGATGAAATTTTCTCATTTGATAAGAGTAAAAAAGCTGATAGTAATATTGATGCTGCTGAAGAAACTCTAGAAGCAGGTGATACAATTGTTTGTTCAGCTCCACCTCCTGAAAATGAAAAGGTAGAGGAAGATGCTGTCACAGAACCTGTTCTTGGAGAGGAGGATATATCTAGCAGTATGGAAATTGACCAAAGTGAAAAGAATGAAGGTGAAAATTCTGCAGACCTTGCAGAAACCATTAGTGAAAATGTTATAAAAGATGACAAAAATGAGAATATATTAGAAAGTACAGATTCTATGGAGACAGATGAAATTATTCCTATTTTGGAAAAGCTTGCACCTGCTGAAGATGAACTTACTTGCTTTTCTAAAACTTGTCTTCTTCCAATTGATGAAACAAATCCAGATTTGGAAGAGAAGATGGAAAGTTCTTTTGGTTCACCATCTAAACAAGAAAGTAGTGAGAGTTTGCCAAAAGAAGCCTTTTTGGTCCTCTCTGATGAAGAGGATATTTCAGGTGAAAAAGATGAGTCTGAAGCTGTGTCACAAAATGAGTCATGCTCTCCAGGTTAGCATATTATTTACATTAAAAATTTTTTGATTAGCTTTAATAAACTTAAATAAAACATTCTCATAAAGACATATTTCTTTTAGTTGCAGAGAAAGTTGAGATTGATGGTGGCTAGAATGATCTCTTAACTTGATAGATTCTTAACTTCACAGAATTCAGAATTACAAAGTATCCACTTTGAATGGCATTGTGTGAAGCCCTAAGGGAGCTAAAGAAGAAAATATGCAACTTGCCCTTAAGGCAGTGGTTCTCAACCTTCCTAATGCCACGACCCTTTAATACAGTTCCTCATGTTGTGGTGACCCCCAACCATAAAATTATTTTCATTGTTACTTCATAACTGTAGTTTTGCTACTGTTATGAATAGTAATGTAAATATCTGATATGCAGGATGTATTTTCATTGTTACAAATTGAACATAATTAAAGCATAGTGATTAATCACAAAAACAATATGTAATTATATATGTGTTTTCCGATGGTCTTAGGCGAGCCCTGTGAAAGGGTCGTTCGACCCCCAAAGGGGTCGCGACCCACAGGTTGAGAACCGCTGCCTTAAGGTATTTATGTTTAGGAAGAGAGAGAAGATAACACTATGAGACAACAATTTCAAGTCAGTGCATACTTGATCAAAGTCCTAGGAATTGTTCTTGCTATCACTTAGCAACCAAATAACTTAGGATACAAAAACCTACTAGCTTATTTGCTTCAAATGTTACAAATCACATTTTACAATTAATTTTCCCATTAACATCTGATTTCTTTTAATATTCTTTGGTGAATGACACCATCATTGCTGGAAGTTTTCAGAAACCTTGAAACCTGGTTATCTATTTGATGAAGACCTCATCCATTTGTTTCCACAGCCCTCTTGATTTTACCCAATCTTCTTTCTTCCCTCTCATCTTTTGAATGATCTCTATATCCTAAATCTCTAGAATAGTGGTTTTCAACCTTGGCTGCACATTAGAATCACCTGGGAATCATTAAAATCCTGATTTCTGGGCCTCATCCTCCAGAAATTCTGTTTCTTTGTTATGGGGTGAGGCCACAACATTAGTAACAAAGAAACAGAATTCCCGGAAGATGAGGCCCAGAAATCAGGATTTTAAAAAGATTCCCAGGTGATTCTAATGTGCAGCCAAGGTTAAGAACCACTGTGCAAGGAGAGATGAGAAAAATCCCACTTGCTTTTGTGGTCAAACTCTAATATTCATATATGAAACTTTCTTAGTTCCTTTCAGAAGTTGCTCCCTTTGTGTTCTATTACATTCTGTTAGAGTGCTCTTTAAAATGTTTAAATGACTTTTATTAATACCTGCCCAAGGCTGTTAGAGCAGTGGTTCTCAACCTTCCTAATGCCGCGACACTTTAATACAGTTCCTCATGTTGTGGTGACCCCCAATTTCATTGTTACAAATTGAACATAATTAAAGCATAGTGATTAATCACAAAAACAATATGTAATTTATATGTGTTTTCCGATGGTCTTAGGCGACTCCTGTGAAAGGGTCATTCGATCCCCAAAGGGGTCTCGACCCACAGGTTGAGAACCGCTGTATTAGAGCTTTCTGAGAGGAGTGACTTTATAGTATGAAACACAGCCTTTGGGTCCTAGTTTGTTCAAAGAATGAAAACATGAGGCAGAACTCAGAGACACAGAAGATTCCCCTCTTCCCCCCCAATATATTATATCAGGTTTTGGAGGTAGAGATTTTTTATTATTAAATGATGACTTTATTTCTAAAGAGCATTTATTCATAAAGAGCCAGGCTTTTTATGATTCTGGGGATTTAAAGATAAAATTTAGTATTTGCCCTCAGGGTGTAGACAATAATTAAAGCACAGGGCATTAAATACAAGGCTATGAATACAGTAATTATGTTAAATTGGTATTCTAGGTTTTTACAGGAGAATATAAGATGTATTCAGGAACGCACTTGCCTTTCACTATCTGTATAACAGGATTTTAAGGAAGAGTATTCTTTTTTTTGGCAGCTTTGTCCTTACTGCTCAGCCCAGAAACCTTGGAGCCATTTTTTCCCCTTCATATCCCATATCCAGTCCATCAGGATGTCCTGTTAGCTTTATCTTCAGAATAGATCTAGAATTCATCTTCACAGCTTTTATTCCTATGCTAAGTCCCTACCATCAAGCCAAAATACTTCTTGGGTTATAGTAAGTGCTCAGTAAATATTTGTGAAGTGAATGAATACTTGGTGCTATAAGAGATGTATATCAAGGAGGACCTTCATTCTAAGGCTAAAGCATTCTGATAGCATATATGCATACAAGTTCTTTGGTTGATCTCTTCCCACCTCACCTTCCCTCTGAGATTCAACAGTCTGTTTCATGCTTCTTTGTCTCTGGATCTATTTTGTTCAACAGTTTTTATTCATTAGATTCCACATATGAGTGCAATCATATGATACTTACCTTTCTCTGACTGGCTTATTTCACTTAGCATAATACTCTCCAGGTGCCTCCAGGCTGTCTCAAAGGGTCAGAGATTCTTCTTTTTTTATAGCTGCATAGTATTCCATGTTATAAATGTACCACAGCTTTTTTATCTACTCATCTACTGATAGGTACTTGGGCTGTTTCAAGATCTTAGCTATTATAAATTGTACTCCTATGAACATAGGGGTTCATACATTCTTTCTGGTTGGTGTTTTGGGTTTCTTAGGTTGTATTCCTAGAAGTGGGATCACTGGGTCAAATGGCAGTTCCATATTTAATTTTTTGAGGGAACTCCATACTGTTTTCCATAATGGCTGTACCAGTCTGCATTCCCACCAGCAGTGTATTAGTGTTCCCTTTTCTCTACATCCTCTCCAGCATTTGTCATTTATTGATTTATTGATGGTAGCCATTCTGAGAGGAATGAGGTGATACCTCATTGTCATTTTAATTTGCACCTCTCTGATGATTAGTGATTTTGGGCATTTTTTCATGTCTCTTGGCCATCTGTATGTCTTCTTTAGAGAAATGTCTATTCAGGTCTTACGCCCACTTTTTAATTGTATTGCTTGTCTTCCCTTTGTTAAATTGTCTGAGTTCCTTATATGTTTTGGATATTAACCCTTTATCAGATGTATCAAGCCAAATATGTTCTCCCATACAGTAGGCTCGCTTTGCATTTTGTTGATGGTTTCTTTTGCTATGAAGAAGCTTTTTATTTTGATGTTGTCCTATTTGTTTATTTTCTCCTTAGTTTCCGTTGCTCCTAGATGTATCCTCAAATATATTGCTACAAGAGATGTCTGAGATTTTGCTGCCTATGGTTTCTTCTAGGATTTTTATGGTTTCACATCCAGTCTTTTATCCATTTTGATTTTTTTCTTGTGTATGGTGTAAGTTGGTGATCTAGTTTAATTATTTTGCATGTGTCTGTCTAATTTTCCCAACACCATTTATTTAAGAGACTATCTTGACTCCATTGTATGCTCTTGCCTCTTTTGTCTAATGTTGTTTTTTGAGGTCTCTGTAATTTAATAGGGATTACATTGAATCTATTGCTTTGGGTAGTAACATTTTAATGATGTTAATTCTCCCAATCCATGAACATGGTATATTCTTCGACTTGTTTATATCTTCCTCTATGTCTTTTTTTCAATGTCCTGTAGTTTTCCGAGTACAAGTCTTTTACCTTGTTGGTTAAATTTATTCCTAAGTATCTTAATTTTTTTGTTCCAATGGTAATTGGGATTGTTTGTTTAATTTCTCTTAATGAGAATTCATTATTGGTGTATAAAAATGCCATTGATTTCTGAGTGTTAATTTTGTATCCAGCTAGATTGCCAAATTCATTTAAATCTAGGAGTTTTTTGGTGGAATCTTTAGGGTTTTCTATGTACAATATCATGTATCTGATATTGATATTGTATCATGAATAATGAGAGATTTACTTCCTCCTTTCCAATTTGAATGCCTTTTATTTCTTCTTCTTGTCTGATCGCTGTGGCTAGCACTTCCAGTACTATGTTGAATAAGAGTGGTGAAAGTAGGCATCCCTGTCTTGTTCCTGTTCCTAGGGGAAATGACTTTAGTTTTTGCCCATTGAGTATGATGTTGGTTGTAGGTTTGTCATATATGGCCTTTATTATGTTAAGATATGATCCCTCTATTTCCAGTTTGCTGAGAGTTTTTATCCAAGACTAGAGGCCTGGTGCACAAAATTTGTGCACTCGGGGGGTCCCTCAGCCCAGCCTGCACCCTCTTGCAGTCCAGGAGATGTCTGACTGACAGCTTTGGCCCACTCCCCTAAGCCGTCAGTTGGACATCCTTAGCGCTGCTGTGGAGATGGGAGAGGCTCCTCCTGCCACTACTGCGCTTGCCAGCCATGAGCTCGGCTTCTGGCTGAGCGGCGCTCCCCCTGTGGGTACGCATTGAGTGTCTGCCCCCTGCTGGTCAGTGCACATCATAGTGACCATTCGTTCTGCTGTTTGGTAGATTTGCATATTAGTCTTTTATTATATAGGATGAGGATTGAACCCCTAGGTTAGTGGCTGCACACCAAATTTTGTGCATTGGCCCTTTAAGTGGGTGCCTGCATTTCCAGTCATCTGAATCCTGCTGCTTTTCACAGCCAGTTGTTATATGGCCACCTTTCTCAGTTCTGGTGCTCTGGGCTGGGCCACTGAGCTTGTGGTTTAGACCCTAGAGTTCTCAGTGGGAATGCCCCACAGCTGAGATATCTCTCCGGAAATTCAGTTGCTGTCTGTGGAAGCCTCGACAGTCCTTTCGCGCCTTTGCACTTCCTACAAGTCTCTATGCAGTCTCTACTTTCCGTCCTTGGTTATCAGGGTTCCCTCCAGCTAGTCTTCAGTTGATTATTCTGGATGGTGTTTCTGTATTTTAGTTGTAATTCCAGTTTGGTCCTTGTAGCTTCCACTTACTCTGCTGCCATTTTGGGAAGGAATTTTTTGTTTTGTTTTAAATGTTCTTACAGAGCCAATAATCTAAGGCAGAGGATTGGCAAATTTTGGCCTTAGGCCTTGTGTGTTTTTGTCAATAAAGTTTTATTGGGATATAGCCAGACCCATTTGTTTACCTTTTTTTTTTTTTGTCATTGATTAAATAAAAAATGTTTGCCAAACCCTGATCCAAGGCAACAGTTTTGTCTATATTTTCTTGGAGTAAAGTTCTATAGAAGGTAATTCTGAAAATGGGAAATTTAATTTCCTGATATAAATTCTGTCTTTTAATCCTCTATAGCATACCTTTTCTACCTTTATTTAATGGAATCTTATTAAAATAATGGTTATCAGATAGATATTAAACATTTTTGTCTCGGCTCTTTTCCCATAGATTTTTAGGATTACTAAAGTTTTAAGATGTGGTACCTGCTCCTAGGGAGCTTACTGTCTAGTCCAGGGATTTCCCACCTTTTTCATCTCATGGCACATATAAAGTAATTACTAAAATTCTGTGGCATACCAAAATATATATTATATTTTTTGTCAATGTAACATTAAAAACAGATATAGTTTTGATTCATGCACAATGGATGGGTATTATGTTTGCTGTTGTCATTTTTTTATTTGACAGTTGAAGGGAAAAGAGGTCAGTTCCCCTGACTAAATAGTCAGGTATTGCATATTTGTTTGTTGTGTGTTTTGTTTCTTTTGTTAATCCTCACCCAAGGATATTTTCCCCATTGATTTTTAGAGTGGGAGAAAGAGAGGGAGGAAGGGGAGGGAGGAAAGGGAGGGAAGGAGGGAGGGAGAAATATTGATATGTGAGACACACAGATTGGTTGTCTCTCGAATGCCAACTGTGGGGTGGGGATTGAACCTGCAACCCAGGTATGTGCCATTAACTGTGAACCAAACCCGGGACCCTTCTGTTCATGTGTTTACTCTCTAACCATTGTGCAGTACCAGCCAGGGCAGGCATTGCATGTTTTAAAAATTCTTATAGTACATCAGTATGCTGCACCACACTGGTTGAAAATTGCTGGTCTAGTCTGATTGAAGAATCCCACACTTAGAACTGTTTATGAAACATGGCAGTTTGTAATGAGGCTATACTCAATACCAGAAGAATTACAGCAGAAACTATCTGTGAATGAAGGCAGTTTTAAGCATCCAGATGAGTTTCAGAAGTCTCAGGAACTACTTTAAATTATATATAAAAATGTATGCACATGGGCCTTTGTTTATTATTCTGGGTTGAAGGAGGTACACTCAGATTCTCTTGAGACTTTAGGAACAAAAAGTAAAGAAATATAGGGCCTTACTCCTTTCTGTAGAATCTGTTAATACCATTTTTCTTATCCAGAGTTCTTTAAGTAAAACATAGAATATAAATTTTAATTCTATGTGTCTATTCTAAAATCCTAATGAGTATTTTAAGGGGTGAGAATCCAGGCATATCTTCTAAGCATATATGGAAAATGGAAATTAGGTGATAGGAGGAGGTTTTGAGTAAAATGAAAGAATCTTAAGCTAAGCTTGATTTACCTGTAAGACAAGAGGGAGCTAATATATGCATAAAAGAGGTAGACTAAACCAGGCCAATTGCCTCTGCTGTGTTCTAGATTATCTGGCTTGCAGTTACCCTAATTGGAGCCATGGCTAATTTTGTTCTTTGGGTGATAAGATGATTTGCTCAACAAAGACTGTAAACCATTACAGACAACCCAGTTTATTCATGTGTCTGGAAACTGGGGACTAGGAAACTCAGGACCTGTCATCATTTTCAGTATTAAAATCAGAAATATTTGGAAAACTAAATACTACTGTATATAGAAAAAATGCTTTGTAATGAGTTTGTAGCCTACAAGGGAGCAAAATAAATTTTCATTTAATTGAAACTAGGATTGAGGCATGAGATTTTAGAAACATTTCTAATGAGCATAGGATGATAAATGGAAAGTTAATATTCTAATACTCATTTATTTTAAAGTTTAAAAATAGTTTTAATCTATCTATCTATCTATCTATGTATCTATCTATCTATCTATAGTGCTAGCTTTTTTGTTTTATTTTGCTTTGTTTTACTATAGTCACATTTTACAACTTTATTGTTTTATTAGTGTGAAAATTGTATTTGTAAGAGCTTTAATAGGTTCATCTGTGATCCTGGTCTTCGCCTGTTTCCACTTAAAAGGTCTTTTAAGTTTTTTTTAACTTGACTTTCTATCCACAAGGCTGTTGGGATGAAAACCCTGGTGTTTGCATAAGAAATGCCATATCAAAATTTTTATATAGTGCACCTTGTGATTGCTTATTTTATTTTGGTTACAGAATATGATTAAACAGCATGCCTTATTGAAGCGACTGGGGAGCCAGTTGCAGTGATGTAAAGGGGGATAAAACGGAAGCCCAAACATATTTGTGATTTGTTCTTCTCTCCCATTTAATGATTGATTAGTAGATGAGATATAGGTTGATTGGCCAAAGGCTATTTGTGGTACCTCTGGGATTTTGTTAGAGCAGTGAAATTGTATAGACACTTTTAACAATATTTTTGGGTAGCACTCTTTAATTGTTGTATTTTAAATGCCTCTAGTGAAAACAGCTTATCTGAACTTTACTTTCCTCATCTATATGATGACAAAAATATTGTGTGTAGTGTAAACTTATACTGAGTATATGAAATAATATATGTTAAGCACCTAGCTTGGTTGTTGGGACTGGTATCAAAGTAGCTATTACTTTTAAGTAAAATGATCATTATTTTTAGGATAGCTTTTCCATTCCTCCTTTATGAACTGTCCCATAACCATTGAATAACAATGGTTCAACCTGTCTGGTCAAAATAATTAGGTGTTTTGGCAGTAGTTTGCCAGTGGTTTATAATAGTCATAATCCCTTTTTTAGTTTTAGTAATTAAATGTAGGGAGTCTAATTGCTTTACGGTAGTTCTTAATATATTTTCGTAATCTGTGGCTGACAGTAAATTACTAAGTAGGAATATTTATTTTAAAAAATCTGTACTATTAATTTTTGTCCATGTTAAGAGATTATTAATGAATTTGTAGGAACACTTGAAAGTGGACTTGGTCATTCATTTCTACCAGTTCATGCTCCCTTTTAATTGCTAAAATTTCATATCTTGAGACTGATTTCATAAACAATTATTAACTGAATATTTATACCAAAAGTGTAAATTTTCATGTGCTGTTATGAATTCTAATGGAAGTAATGTTTTCTGTTCTCTTTTTTGTTACAGAGGTTCAAAATAATGAAAAGGACAGGAAACCAGAGGAAGAAGAGCAAGTAGTAGTACATGAAGATGAAAGAACTTCTAAGAAAAGTAAGCATGTACAAAAAAACTGAACTGGTTTGAAAAATAGTAAATCATTCATTCTAGTTTGAAGACTGTGGACTATACTTTTATGTCCATGAGATGATTATAAAACTTTGCAATTTAAGTAAGCCACCGTTAAATCATTTTGTTGATGGCTAAGGATCTTTGAAAAGATTATTTTATAAACTTCAGTGTTTTATTTTATTTATACTTTCTCTTGTTCCATAAGAAAGATTTAAGCTTCATATTTTGGTACTGTCTTACTATCTTGAGAGAAATTGTTTTAGATTTATGTTTAAAGCATGAGACTATAAGGATTTTTTCTGGGGTGATATTAGTGAATGGAAGTATGTGTCTCACTCTCCTTAAGGTTCTTAAACTTTGTGGGAAACGATGGGACTGAGTATTACTAAGTTTATAGGAAGATCATTGGACTAGAAGTCAGGAAACCTGGGTTCTGTAACTATCCCTTCATACTGCGCTCTATGTATAACTTAAAGTTATGATTATAAGTGAAGTCATGGCAGTGATGGCGAACCTATGATGTGTGTCAGAGGTGACATGCGAACTTATTTTTTTGGTTGATTTTTCTTTGTTAAATGGCATTTAAATATATAAAATAAATATCAAAAATATAAATCTTTGTTTTACTATGGTTGCAAATAGAAAAAAATTTCTATATGTGACACGGCACCAGAGTTAAGTTAGGGTTTGTCAAAATGCTGACACGCCGAGCTCAAAATGTTCGCCATCACTGTCATAGAGTATAACTGGATTTTAAAAATAGGCACATAGATATGGATAGAGAGTAAAGTGGAGACTGGTAGGTGTGGTCACTTGCCTTTAATAAGTGTAAAGATTTTAATATTTTCACTTGATTTTTCAAAATCCTCACCCAAGATTATGTTTTCATTGATTTTTTGAGAGAGTAAGGGATGTTGGGGGAGAGAAAAAGAGAAACATCAATGTGAGAGAGAAACATTGATAGCCTGCCTCCCATGCGTACCCTGACAGGGGATTGAACCCGCAGCCTAAGCATGTGCCTTGACTGGGAATTGAACACACAACCTTTTGGTGTATGGTGTGACACTCCAACCAACTGAGCCACCTGGCCAGGGGTTCACTTTTTATGTATTGAAAAAGAAACCAGTTAAAATTTGCTTATGAGCTCATGAATATTGACACTATTTGAAATTGAAATTTTCTAAGTGAAGATCTTTGAATATTTATTCTTTACCAAATACACTTTTATAATTGTCATTAATTTTATTATTTTTATATATTTGAAATTCATTAGGATATGTTAAGAATTTCTATTATTTTTTAAAAAAAGAATAACATTTATCATGTTATTTGCCTGAGGCTGATATTTAAGTAGGAGTTTTTTTCTAGATTTACTGAGGGAAATGTTTACTGAGGAAGAAGAATTAAATAGTTAAAGCTGCACACAGTTGTTAAAAATCTGTGACAGAGACTGAATACTGTATGTTGTCAGAGGATTAGTGTTCACTATAATATTTAGCAATGGGAATCAGTATAAGATTATTTCTTCTCATTTCATAATCACATTTTTAAGTGATTAATAGGAAGATTTCAATGATAAGATATTTTGTATTTACAGTGTACATTGCTTAGCCATTAGGAAATTCTTTTTTAGCATATTGAAAATCATTTCAAGTTGAAAGCTAAAAGCTACCTGTCTATTTTTCTGATCTCAAAAGTAATTCACAAAATAATTGATTGATAATGCTATTGTGATAGCTAGAAATAATATTTTGCTTAGGATGGAGAATTGGCATTAAGTTATATAATAAAAAACACCTGACAGATCATTATGCTTTTTGTCCTCAGTTGAATTTTCCAGAAGAAAACGTTCTAAATCTGAGGACATGGACAATGTACAGTCCAAACGTCGTCGATACGTGGAAGAAGAATATGAGGCAGAATTTCAAGTAAAGATTACAGCCAAAGGAGATATTAACCAGAAGCTGCAAAAGGTGTTATAGATTATAAATTGAAAACCATATTAAGTAAAAAGCACCACCATCTTTATTTTTCTAGATCTTGAAAAATTTTTTTCTTTGTATTTTACTGAAATAGGTCACAGAAAAAGAGAACTTAAAGTGGTTGAGCTTATTCTTTTTAATAATTTAATTTTAAAATTTCTCTTTTTATGAGACTGACGTGCTGCCTATTGCGCTAAGAGGGCGCCTAAAATTTCTCTTTTTAAAGCTACATAATTTATTTTAGATATGGTAGTAATTATCAAATTGGAAGGGAGATTTGATGATGTCTTTTATTTACTTTAGTAACAAAACTGTTAGTTTTCAGATTTTATCTTTTCTGCTATATTGAACTTTATTGTAATAGAAACATTAATCTTATATGTTACTATTTTAATCTTTATAATAAGCTGGTTTCATGGTTATAAGTCCCTACATTCTGAATTTTTGTTATGTACTTTAGACTTAGTATTAAAAATGGTAGAGACAAGGCTTTCCAAGGACTAGGGAGAAAGAGTGAAGTTCAGATTTTGACATCCCCCCAATCTGCTAAACTATACATACAACTGAAAATATGCATTATTTAATATATTTTCAAAATGTTTACACCAATGTTTATGACAAATTCCTTTTTAAGAGGGGAATATGCAACTCAGGTGAAATTAATTTTTCAAGTTCTTATCAATTTAATGATAAAACTTATAAATAATCTAGTTTTTAGACCAGTATGCGTCCACTAAGATAAATATAAATATCCATACTAGGAAAAGGAATAGTGAGGCAGTAAGAAAAGTAGCTTTTTTTCTTCCAGTTTTTTAAATTTATTTGTCATATGAAGATAAATAATGTTTATTTAGTATTTCTTATAGAGCTGTTAGAAATATGAAGATAGCTCTGTGAAAGAATTTTGAAAACTTTTATGTGTATTGAGAGTTTACTTCTCTTGAACAGTGTCATTCAAGTATGATTCATGGACATGTACCATGTTTCCTCTTTGTTATAGGTCCATAATGAGATAAAAATGGAAATTATAAGTATGCATTTAGAAATGTTTTACAGGAATTTTATAGTGCACTATAAGTATCTCACAAAAATATCTGGAACAGATTAGAAATTTAAAAATCTTGTTCTTTAATTTGTGTCCTTTAAATTATGATTGAGTGTATGGGAAGAAAATAATAAAACCTCAAATTATTTTTAAATTTCACCCTCTGAAAATTTTCTACTTTTTTCATATATTATTCTTTTTCAGTAGGTATATATCTAGAAGTAGAGGATTTCAGCGCATCCATTGTGTTATGGATCCTAGCCTGTTTTTTTTCATTAACCTAGTTTTACATAGTACTTAGGGATAGTTACTGTTCAGTGCTTGCTGAAATGCCTTCTTTGCTTGTAACAAAGGAATGTGTATTTATTTAGGTTGTACAATGGTTGCTGGAAGAAAAATTGCGTGCACTACAGTGTGCTGTATTTGATAAGACTTTGGCAGAGTTGAAAACACGAGTGGAAAAGATCGAATGTAATAAGAGGCATAAAACAGTTCTTACTGAACTACAGGTTTGTACACTGACTTGAATTGTATATGAATTTTTTTTGTATATGTATTTTATAACTTATTGTTTGTGATACATTTTTGAACTTGACAATAAAATATATCTAACTTCTAAATTTTAGAAGTAAGAGGAGCCTCTGTTAGTTTCCTAGGACTGCCATAAAAGTGGTGCCATTAACTGGGTGGCTTAAATAACAGAAACGTATTGTTTCATAGTTCTGGAGGCTAAAAGTTGTAGATCAAGGTGTTGGCAGGACTGGTTCTTTCTGAGAGGTATGAGGAAGAATCTGTTCCATGTGTTTCTTCTGGTTTCTGATGGTTTGTTTACTGACAGTTATGAGTGTTCCTTGCCTTGCAAATGCATCACCCTGATCTCTGGCTTTATCTTCACGTGACTCTGTCTGTACCTGTTTGTGTCTGTATCCAAATCTCCCCTTTTTACAAGGATACGTTGGATTGAGGACCACCCTTATTTCAGTATGACCTCATATAAACTAATTACCTCTGCATCTACCTATTTGCAAATAAGGTCACATTCTGAGATACTTGCGGTTTGGATGTAGTATAGGAGATTTGGATATACACAGCTTAACCCATAATAGAGCCTCAGAAATTATATACTTAGTACTTCTTAAATAGTTTTTTAGTCACTGAAGAAAGGCTGGTATCATCTCACTTGCCATAAGTATCCTAATCATAATAATAAAAGGCCAGAGTTGTCACGACCAAAACGACCAAACGACCGTCACCATGAAGTGCATGGAGCACCTCTCAGTCCCTCCCCTGCAGCCCACAGGCCCCCGATTGCAGCAGAGCTGGTAGCCAGCGGGCGCAGGCGTCGGGAAGCGCACATGGGTGGACGGGGCCACGCGATTTTGCACGCTGGGCCTCTAGTTAAGTAATATTTGTTGTAAGTTATTCCTTATATATTAATCCACTTTGCTAAACAAGGTCCAATGTGTCTGAATCCCAACAGTTGTGCAACTTATATTAAATAGCTACCATTATGCCATTACCAGGAAATTATAGATATGCCCGAATGGGGAAACCAAGAGCAAATGAAATAGAAGTAATCAAATACATAATAATAGATTATGACTGTCCTGAACTAAAAAAAATGTTCGTAGCCTTTATTTTCTTTTTCTTTTTATTTAAATATATTTTTATTGATTTCAGAGAGGAAGGAAAAGGGAGAGAGAGATAGAAACGTCAATGTTGAGGAGAATCATTGGTAGGCTGCCTCCTGCATGCCCCACACTGGGGATCGAGCCTGCAACCCGGACATGTGCCCTGACCAGGAATCGAACTATAACCTCTTGGTTCATAGGTCAATGCTCAGCCATTGAGCCGTGCCAGCCGGGCTGTTCGTAGCCTTTAAAAAAAGAATCACAGAGTACTTGCCAAAATAGAAATTCAATCTTAGGCATACGATGGCAGATATTTAGAATTATAATTTAGAAAAAATTGTTATTTTCCTAGATTAAAACAACAAAAAGACTGTTCTTTTTTTCTTTTAAGAATAATAAATGGCAAAAGGTAAGTCCATGTTCAAAACTTTGGTTTTCATTCTCCGCTAATAGTTTACTTTTTCAAGTGATAAAATTCTTTTTTAAAAAGTGTTTAAATACTATAGATGTATATGATATGAAAATGAAGTCCTTCTCTGTATATTCTCCCTCATAGTCTGCCGATCCTAATCTTTAGAGGTAACCACTTTTACGTTGGTATTTATCCTTGTAGACATTCACCTGTACATAACAAACAAAAAGAAATTTTAAAAAATAATTTTTTAATTAGTTTTCATTTTTAAATAAAAATAGTATTACGTTACATACAAAACAATTTATAGAATATCCACTAGGTAGTCTGACTAAATTAAAAATGAAAGATTCTTGTATAAGTTGGGGTATAAAAAACATCTTTTTACATACCTTTTTTTGAAAAAATTGCATGAAATATTTTAGTCACAGAAAGGTAAATCCATATTAAGAATATAAAATCATTCTGTTCTATCGTTGGGTGTTAATAATCATAAATAACTAAGTCCTGAGGAAAATCTTCATTTTGGGAATCACAGGTGATTGTTTAGGCTTGTGAGTGGGCTTAAATAAGTTGGAAGGTTTGGGGTCTCCTTTGGAAGTGACTACTTTCTGAAAGGAACTTTAAAAATAGATAATACCATTTTTTAAAGTGATGTACTTATATTAGCTAGAAGAAATTCCCTGGAGGAGCTCTTCCTTAAGCCTCATGAATACATTTAGAAGCTTAGTTTATAATTTTTGAAAATATATTAGATATAAAATTGCAGTAGCAATAGTAGTAAAAAGAATTGACTGCCCTGGCTGGGTGAGTCAGTTGGTTGGAGTTTCTTCTCATACACCAAAAGGGTTGATTCCTGGATTCCTTGTTTGATCCCTGGTCTGGGCACACATAGGAGGCAACTGATCGGTGTTTCTCACGTCTCTCTCTCTCTCTCTCTCTCTCTCTCTCTCTCTCTCCCCCCCCCCCTCCCTCTCCCTCCCCCCCCCCCTTCGTCTTCTCTCTCTAAAATCAATAAACATATCCTCGGGTGAAGATAAAAAATAAAAAATAAATTGAATATCACTTAGTAAAAGACTTAAAGGAAATATAAAGATTTTACATGTGGTGATGTGATAATTTTTTTAGTTTTTTTTCTTTCTGTTCTAATTTAAAATTTTCTGTGAATATGTATTTGGGCAAAATATGTGTTTAGTTAGTTTATGTAAGCAGTACAAATGATAAAATAATTTCACTGATATATTAATACTAGCAAGGTAAAATTTTTGTCAGATTATTAAAGAATAACAGAATAATGAAATTAAATGTTTCAGAGTAATATACTACATGAGCACTTATATAACTGCTATTGAAATTATAAATGAGCAAAACCTTTCTGAAAAGCATTTAGATAAGAGCCTTAAAAATATACTTTAACTTAGGAATTCTATTTCTGAATGTTGTCTATGGAAATCATGTGAAAGAGCAAACATTAATTGCAGTGTTATTTGACTATGGCAATACATTGAGGAACATTGACATCAATCTGGAAAGTGAAATATATATGATTTAATATATATGATATACAGTAGGTCCTTGGGTTACGTTGGAGATCTGTTCCTATGGCGTGGTGTAGCAGCGCGATGTAACGCCGTAAGAGCGGAACCCACCTACTAAGCACCTATGTCACTCACATGGAGCACATACACAGCAGTAATGAAGTGAAACAGTAAAAAAAAAATTTAAAAGAAAGATAATTCCTGACCTTTACTTGTGGTAAATAAATAATAAAAAACATAAAACACATACCTTTTTTTTCATTTTATTTTTTAAAAATAAATGGGAGATGGCGATGTAACCATGAAACGATGTCCGTCGAGTCCGATGTAATCCGAGGACTGCCTGTATATATATAAAGTCAGTGGTATATACTGATTCAATATATTATACATGTACCCATAAGTAGTATTGACAAGGGATCTTTATTACTTACAGATATGCTTATTTTTGCTACTACAAAATTCTCTTGTGAGAAAGTAAAGTGTGATTACAACTATGTTTAAAAAATAACAAAAAAATCATACATATTCAGAAATGTACTGGTTTATGAGCAAGCATCCATAGTTCTAGGAGGAAAAAAGCTAACCTTATAAGAGTGTTCACCTGTGGGTATCAAATTTAAGGCCATTTTAGTTTTCATTATAATTTTCTGTGTTTTTCAAATATATATTTTTACAGTCAGCTTACTTTATTTACTTTTTTGCTGTTTGCTATCTTTGAGGATCCTGTTATCTATGAGTTTCTTGTTATATGGGTTCCATTTTAATGCTATAATGCCACTTGGGTTCTGTTTCCATTTTTGCTTTTTGTAGGCCAAGATAGCCAGGTTAACCAAACGCTTTGGAGCAGCCAAAGAAGATCTTAAGAAAAGACAAGAAGTAAGAATTTCTGTTGTTGCACAATTAATATTTAGCTCTAACTGATAATCTTAGTTAATGCTGAATTAGGAGGAAACACTTCCTTTATTACAGTTCTGAAGTTTGCTCTCATTCACTGTACTTACTGTATGTTGTTTCTGCAGCTCTATAATTAATTTTTAACCCTTTCCTAATTTTCAATTACTGTTTTCACATTTTAACACATATCAATTACTTTTATTTTATGGCATTCTTGAAGCCGTATTTTCTATACATGCGGACTGAAGAGTCCCGGGTTTGATTCCGGTCAAGGGCACATGCCCTGGTTGTGAGTTCGATACCCAGTAGTGGGTGTGCAGGAGGCAGCTGATCAATGATTCTCTCGCATCATTGATGTTTTTATCTCTCTCTCTCTCTCTTTCTCCCTCTCTGAATTCAATAAAAATATATTTTTTTTAAAAAATTATGTTTTTTGGGATTTGTCCTAGTCTAGTCTTGTTATTGTTTTAGTATTCCACTGCCTTCAATAGCCCCGTTCTGCCCTTCCTTTCTTATACTTTGTACGTTAAGTCCAAACATGGTAGCATAACATAAACACTATTCTATAGTCTAGTTTTTCTTTTTGTTGTTTCCTTAGTTACTCTGTAGTACATTATTTAAAAAAAATTTAAAAATATGTTTTTATTGATTTTTAGAAAGAAAGAAAGGGAGAGGGAGAGAGAAACATGGATGTGAGAAACATCGATTGGTTGCCTCCTGCATGCATCCCAACAGGAATTGAGCTTGTGCTGGGCATGTGTCCTCCCTGATCGGGTATCGAACTGGCTACCTTTTGGTGCACGATGATGACATTTAACCAAGTGAGCCACACCAGCTGGGGCATGCAGTACATATTTTTAATATAGCATTTGCATGTTGCTTTATAGTTTTTCAGTTGAATTTCTTTCTCTTCCTCTTGACTTTTTTCCCCATTTGAGCAATTCACATTTCTTTTTGTATTGATAGATCCATTATCTGGCACATGATAATTGCCAATAATAATTATTTCATTAATAATCACTATTTCTACAAGATTTTTCTGTCTTGATTCATTTTCTCACTTGACTTAAAAACAATTTTATAGTTTCAACCTTACCTTGTCCCTCCACCCCCACTGACTCCCTTCCCCCCGCAACTAATAATTTGTTCTTCATCTCTATATTGTTTTTACTTAACTTTTAAAATTCTGTTTTCTCTCTTTTTTCTTGAGTAACTGACAATTGGTTTTTTCCTTTGTTCTATATAGACTAATTTCCCCAAACTCACTTAGACATATCCAAAGATTTTTTATTATAGTTTTTTTTCAATTACGTAATTTTCTGATTTTAAATTCCACTTTCTCAACTTTGTTTCTTTGTCATAATGTGTAAAATGAGCTATTTTATTTCTTATATTAGAAAATTTGTATAAATCTTTTTTGAACCATTTTTATTTGCTATGCCTAGTAAAGTATATGTAGACATTCACTAGATATTTATTGAATGAGTATATCTGGTTTATTATTAATATTTTTATTATTTTGTTTATTGAGCCCTACAGCATGTAAACCATTTTCATAGTCTTCATTTTATTTCCTCATCTCAAAAAACTGAGGTATCAGAATTATTACATTTGTCTTTTGTATAATAAGCAGTTGTTTCCATTAAGTACTGTGCTTAAGACAGCTAACAAGTGGCAATTCCAAGATTCAGATTCTTGTCTCAACTAATAATATTTTTCATGGAATTATAGAAGTAACAGATAATATTTTGATAAAGCATTTAAGGTCTTATTTTTAAAGATTTGCTTTATATTGGGTTTTATTTTACCTTGGTATTTTTCTCCCTCAGAATCCACCAAACCCACCTGTACCTGTATCACCAGGAAAGTCTATAGTTGATGTCAACAGCAATAACAGTGTGCCCTATAGGTGAGAATAATAAACAGTCTATTTGTCAAGTATTTATTCCCCCCACCCGCTTTTTTTTTTTTTTTGCCTTTTTCTTGTGTTAATCCTCACCTGGGGATATTTATCCATTGCTTTTAGCTAGAGTGGAAGGGAGGGAGGGTTACTGGGGTGAGGGGGAGAACATTGATGTAAGAGAGACACATTGACAGGTTGCCTCCTGCATGTGGGGACTGAACCTGCAACCCAGGTATGTGCTCTTGACCAGGAATGGAACCTGCGACCCTTTGGTGCATGGGCCGACTCTAACCACTGGGAACACTGCCCAGGGCCTCTTTTTCTACCTTTTAAAAATAAAATTTACTCATTTTTCCCATCCACCAGCCCCCACTTCTGGCAACTACCAATCTGTTCTCTATATGGATTTAAAAAAATACATATTTTTTTTAGATTTCTTAAAATAAATTTTGTTTTTTTAGATTTCTTTCTCTGTTTAACTTAGCTTATCAGCATGTCTTCAAGATCCATCCATGTTGGGGGTCAAATGGGAAAATTTTTTTTTATGGCTAAATAATACTCCTATGTGCGTATATGTATAAAAGTTTGCTTACCCATTCATCCATAGGTGAACACTTAAGTTGTTACCATATCTTGGTTATTTTAAATAATGCTGCATTGAAAATGGTTGTGCATATATCTTTTCTAATTAGTATTTTGGTTTACTTCAAACAAATATCCAGACGTGTAATTGCTGTATCATATGGTAGCTCTATTTTTAATTTTTTGAGGAAGCTTTGTACTGTTTTCCATAGTGGCTGCACCAATTTACATTTCCATCAATAGTGTGCAAGGTTTTTAAATAGCAAGTCTGTCAAGTTTCCAAATAACTCATATGTAGAATCTAATGAACAAAATTAACTGTTGAACAAAATAGACCCAGAGACATAGAAGCATGGTACAGACTGTAGAATCTCAGTGGGAAGGTGCGGGTAGGTAGGAAGAGATCAAAGAACTTGTATGCATATATGCATAACCCATGGCACAGACAATAGGGTGTGAAGGCCTGGGGTAGTGGGTGGGGTGGTTAGAAGGGGTCAGTGGGGGGAAAAAAAGGGACATATGTAATACTTTCAACAATAAAGATTTAAAAAAAATAAAGTAATAAAATAAGAGAACAAGTTTCTGATTTTATTTTGCAGAAACATCTTGGAATCTAATCTTAGGTATTTGTATAGAGACAAGTGGTATACCAAATTAAGTGTATTTCCTTCCTTTTTGCTTTGTTATGGATACTGGTTTTGGTAATTTATTATAAGGCTTTTTTTGGTCATTGCAGATTTCTTTTATCACTTGTACTAAATAGTATTCTCTCAAGTAACTGAGAAATGCTTTGGTCAGGGGTGATAAAAGCTAGTGTCTGCAGATTTTAGGACCTACATTTGGTTTTCAGGTAAAAGTATTGAGGACATTAGAATAGAAGAGGAAGACTTTTCCCTAATGCCATAGGACACCTCCCCTCCTGCCCATAGCGTTCTGAAGTATATGTGGTAGTTTTCCCTCAGTGCATTCACTTGAAATTTAATGCTGCAATAGCTATGTCTAGCCACTCTTTTTTTTCCCCATGGGCCACTGCTTTATCTATACATAAATTGATGTTCCCTACAATGTTATATTCATGACTGACTATTTTTGTGTATATATATTTCATAGAAACACAGGTACAGTGAGACAATTGCTGGAGTCCAAAAGAAATGTAAGCGAGAGTACACCACCATCCATTCAAACCCCTGTGAATACAGGTAACAATATTTTTTAACACTGAAATACATTTTCTTAGTGTAATTGGAGGCATTGGTTTTCTTTTCTTTTGAGGATGAAATTTGCTAGAAACTGAGCATATTGATCTAAAATTGAGTGCTTAAGTATATAGTTTTATTTAAACACTAAAGGTGCAGTGCACGAATTTGTGCACGGGTGGGGTCCGGCCTGTCAGAAGGAGGAGATGGCGGGAGGTTGGCTGTCTGGCCCGTCCCCATTGGGGTGGGGAGGCCGATCTGGGGTGGGGCCAGGCAGGAGGAGGGGCTGCAGGAGGTTGGCCGGCTCGCCCGCCCCCTATTGAAGTAGGGGGGTGTGCAGTCAGGGGCAGGGCCACCAGGGGGATGGGCTGTGGGCTGATCAGGGTGGTGGGGGCCCATCGGGGGTGGGGCCTGCCGGGGGAAGGGGCTGCAGGAGGTTGGCCAGCGAGCCCCTCTGATCAGGCGGTTCGCTGGCCGCAGTGGGCATCATAATGACCAGTCATTCTGGTTATTACGGTCTTTTGTTCTGGTTGCTGGCTTTTTATATATAGAGACTAGGGGCCCGGTGCACGAAATTCGTGCACTGGGTGGGGGGGGGGGGAGTGTCCCTCAGCCCAGCCTGCCCCCTCTCACATACTGGGAGTCCTCAGGCGTTGACCCCCATCACGCTCCAATCGCAGGATCGGCCCCTTGCCCAGGCCTGACGCCTCTGACAGAGGCGTCAGGCCTGGGCAGGGGACCCTCATTTCCCCCCCATCACTGGTTCTGCACCCAGCCCAGGCCTGATGCCTCTGGCCCAGGCGTCAGGCCTGCGCAGGGGACCCCCAGACCCCTCCGATTGCTGGCTCTGCCCCTTGCCCAGGCCTGATGCCTCGGCCAGAGGCGTAGACCCCCATTACCCTCCGATCGCCTGATCGGCCCCTTGCCCAGGCCTGATGCCTCTGCCAGAGGTGTCAGGCTTGGACAGGGGTCTCCCATCTCCCCCCGATCACTGGCTCTGACCCCCGCCCAGGCCTGAGGCCTCTGGCCCAGGAATCATGCCTGGGCAGGGAACCCCCATCTCCCTCTGATCGCTTGCTCCACCCCCCGCCCAAGCCTGACGCCTCTGACCCAGACTTCAGGCCTGGGCAAGGGGACCATCATATCCCTCCAATCCCTGGCTCCGCCCCCCGCCCAGGCCTGATGCCTCGGCCAGAGGAGTTGACCCTCATCACCCTCCGATCACCAATCACCGGATCAGCCCCTTGACCAGGCCTGAGGCCTCCGGCAGAGGTGTCAGGCCTGTGCAGGGGATCCCCAGCTCCCCGCGGTTGCAGGCTCTGGCCCTGCCCAGGCCTAACGCCTCTGGCCAAGGCATTAGGCCTGGGCAGGGGACTCCCAGTTCCCCGCGATCTCCCACTCTGCCCCTGCCCAGGCCTAACGCCTCTGGCCGAGGCGTTAGGCCTGGGCAGGGGACCCCCAGCTCCCTGAGGTTGCAGGCTCCGTCCCTGCCCAGGCCTAACGCCTCTGGCCTAGGCGTCCGGCCCGGGCAGCGGGGACCCGCAGTGGCAGCGGGGGGCGCCGCGATCGTGTGGGCTCCGCCCCTGCCCCTGCAGGACGCCTCTGGCTGAGGCCTCTGGCTCGGGCAGCGGGGACCCGCAGCTGCAGCTGCCCCGCGATCGTGGGCTCCGCTTTAGGCCCAGGCAAGGGACCCCTAGCTTCCGGGACTGCCAGCTTCGACCGTACCCAGCTCCCATCGCTGGCTTCACCCCTACTTCCTGCTGTCACTGGCCAGGGCGGCAAAGGTGCCTGATTCTCCGATCATGGCTGCCCCCCACCTCTTAGCTCGCCCCTGGGTTTCTGATCACTGTCAGTGGCAGGGGGCTTCTTCCTGCTTTCCCTTTCACCTCCCTGCATTGTGCCTACATATGCAAATTAGCCGCCATCTTTGTTGGCAGTTAACTGCCATCTTAGTTGGCAGTTAATTTGCATATAGCCCTGATTAGCCAATGAAAAGGGTAGTGCCGTACACCAATTACCATTTTTCTCTTTTATTAGTGTAGATTAGGATTCCATATATGCATGGAAATACAGAAATTGAAATCTCTACTGTAGTGGTTCTCAAACTTTTTAGTCACCATATCCCTGTATAATCTTAAAAACTATTAAGAATCCCAAAGTTTTTGTTTGTGTGGGTTATGTTAATTGATATTTACTCTAGTAGGAATATAAAATTCAAAAAATGTTTGCTTATTCATTAAAAAATAATAAACACTGCCTAGCCAGTTGGGCTCAGTGGATAGAGTGTCATTCTACATACTGAAGGTCCCAGGTTTGATTCTGGCTGAGTGCATGTGCCTCAGTTGCAGACTCAATCCTCAGCCCTGGTCGGGTGAGTGCGGGAGGCAACCAACCGATGTATCTCTCTCACATTGATGTTTCTCTGTCTCTCCTCCTTCCTTGAACTCTAGAAATCAATGGGAAGATATCCTTGGGTGAGGATTAACAAATTAAAAAATAATTATTAACACCTTATTTTGCAACACGTGTTTTAATGAAAAATAACTTCTAAGCTTAAAAAAGTAATGAAAAGAGTATGATTGTCTTACATTTTTATACATTTCTTTTATCTCACTTAAAACATTATGATCCCTATGAAAGCGGGATTCTTATATCTATATCTGCATTCCTTGTTGAAGTTTGTTGTTTTGATTGAAATATATGAAGAAAATTCTGCCTCATACAAATATGTGGTTGGAAAAGGCTAGCTCTTTTAGAGAACTGTGGATATTTTCTTTGAAAATCAAGTAGTAGTTTGTTTGTTTATTTATTTATTATTGATTTCAGAAAGGAAGGGGGAGGGAGAGAGAGAAACATCAATGATGAGAGAGACCAGAATCGAACCTGCAGCCCTTCAGTCTGCAGGCTGATGCTCTATCCACTGAGCCAAGCCATATAGGGCTATTTTGTTGGCTTTTTTTACTGTGAACATGTGATGGTAAAAAATGTAGTGATACTTTTAGTACCACTACTTGATTTTTGTACTGAAGTATCAGAAGTTTTACTCATCATTGCTTTGGCTCCATCAGTGCACATATCTACTGATGAAAAAGTAAAATAATGTTTTATTATTATTATGAAAATAGTTTTGATATTGCAAGCTCCTGAAAAGGTCGCAATTATCCCAAGTATCCCACTGAACCATACCTTGAAAATTGCTGCTCTCAGTATGCCTGTGATTTTGGAAGAAAGACTACAGATCAATGAGAAAGACACTTAGCCATCTAGCTTCCTTATTTCATCTCCCATCGACACTCTGCCATCTTCCATTTATATATATAAAAGGCTAATATGCAAAGTGTCCCCTCAGGAGTTCGACCAGGAGACCAGGAGTTTGATTGCTCACTATGATGTGTGCTGACCACCAGGGGGAAGCATGGGACAAAGAAGGCCCCGGCCTGCAGCCGGGGAAGGAAAGCCCCTGTCAGCAGTTGGAGGAAGGCCCCAGCCAGCAGCTGGAAGGCCCCGATCAGCCCTGATCGCTGACCAGGCCTAGGGACCCTACCTGTGCATGAATTTTGTACCCTGGGCCTCTAGTCCTATAAAATAAAGAGCTAATATGCTAATTAGACCAGATGGTGGAACAACCTTCTGGAATGACCAGTGGGGGGGGGGGGGCAGGGCAGGGCCATGAGGCACGAATTTTGTGCATTGGGCCTCTAGTATTATATAATGTTAATAGAGTGTCAGTGTAAGCAACCTTCTGTCTCTAGTTCCTCTCCCAGGCAATTCAATACAACTTGATCCGTAGATCTGATTTCATATGGTCCAAATGATAAGATACATGACCAAGTTTGCCTATTCATTAATAGTGATGATGCTTACTAGACTTTCTATTTGAGTTTATATATTGCTAGTGTCCCAAAGCATTTGTAATGTTTTAAATGTAGTTTCAAAAATATCTAAACAATATTACCAATTTTTCAGTTATTTTTCAGTTATGCTATAGTTATTACAGTAATTTTCAGACACTGTTTTGAATAGGAGATAGCAGTCCTCCATATTAATCATAAACCATGTGATGTTTTCATAATATACTGATCATAGATGCAAAATGCTTCTACAAATTTAACTCAAAGAAGTTCAAGAATTTAAATCTGGAAAAGATTTCATTATGAAGGACTTTACTGTATCTACTGCAATCCATTAAATTATTATTGTGTTATATTATCCTAGCTGATAAATGGAGGTAGCCATTTAAACTGAGATTTCTTTTTTCTTTCTATAGTGTCTTCAACCAATCTTGTCACTCCTTCAACAGTTGTCAGTAGTCAACCTAAATTGCAGACTCCAGTGACTTCGGGTTCTCTGACATCAATTCTTCCTGCACCCAACACAGCTACAGTAGTTGCTACTACTCAGGTGCCTAGTGGAAATCCCCAACCTACAATCTCGTTACAATCATTACCAGTGATTTTGCATGTACCTGTTGCGGTATCCTCCCAGCCTCAACTCCTACAGAGCCATCCCGGGACTTTAGTAACTAATCAACCATCTGGCAACGTTGAATTCATTTCTGTACAGAGCCCACCTACAGTGAGCAGTCTCACCAAAAATCCAGTATCCTTGCCATCCTTGCCAAATCCCACTAAACCAAACAACGTTACTTCTGTGCCCAGTTCTAGTATTCAAAGGAACTCTCCTGCCAGTGCTGCACCATTAGGAACAACACTTGCTGTACAGGCTGTTCCAACAGCGCACTCTATTGTACAAGCCACAAGGACTTCTTTACCCACAGTAGGCCCATCAGGACTCTACAGTCCATCAAATAATCGCGGTCCTATACAGATGAAAATTCCAATTTCTGCTTTTAGTACTTCATCTCCTGCAGAACAGAGCAGCACTACTACCCCAAGAATTGGTAAGTCACTGTGTAGCTTTAATAATAGAAATAAAAGCTTGCTAATGATCTGTAGATAATTGAACTTTTCTGTTTGTTTGTAGAAGTGGCTAGCATCATTAGAAAAACAAAGTAAATGGAATATCCTGGAGGTTATTTTTAATAAGTTTTTAGTTACATAAGAAATTATGTTGTTAAAATGGGATTTGAGAGAGAGTTTGTTTTGAGTGAGAGGCTAGCATTTGTATTTAACTTTTAGGCATTTTTCTAATCTGGGTGAATTTTTTTATTTAGGCTTTGTAGCAAGCATTATTTTATAATACATTTGCCAGGAATATATGAATAGAACAAATTTATTTTAAAGTATCTAATTGACCTAATGTACGCTTAAAAGAGGAAAATAAACATCACATATTTTCCCTACCCATTTATGTGCTCATCATTCACATCTTCCAAATTTGAACAGTTTAAAAATAGGTTCTGCCCTCTCTAGTTTACTACGCAGTACTTGATTGTGTCTTGTTTTCTCTGTTGTATATTTTCCCCTATGACATATTTTATGATTATGTTTGTATATATGTGTACTTTGAAGTATTGCAAAAGGAGAGCTTGATTGTATCTTTATTTAAAATCTTTTAAACTCTTTTTTTTAACTACATTTTGTATGCATTCTCTTTTTTTCAATTATAGTTGACATTCAATATTTTATATTAGTTTCAGTTATAGAATAGTGGTTAGACATTCATATAATTTATGAAGTGTTTCCTTTGATAAGTCTAGTAACCATCAGGCACTATGCATAGTTATTACAATATTATTGACTATATTTCCTACGGTATATGTTATATCCCTATGACTATTTTGTAACTACAATTTGTATTTTTTAATCCCTTTAGCTTTTTCCCCCAACCCTCATCCCATCTGGCCACCATCAGTTTGTTCTTTTGAATAATTAATGCTTAGCCTAGAGACAATTTAAGTCAAAGAGAGGTGCATGCTGGGTAACAAATCTCTTATAGTTATGTAAATTATAAGTGTGTGTGTGTGTGTGTGTGTATGTGTGTATACGTATGCATGTTTATGTATATAAAGCACAACCCAACTTTTCACATTTTTAGGTGCTTTTAAAAATGGCTGACTTTTTAAATTTTGACTCCTCAGAAAACCAGACAAACAAAACAATAGATGCTTCTGTTAAGAAAGCAGCTGATAGCACATCACAGGTAAGATTTTCCTTCTGTTTCAAATTAAAATTCTAATTATAGTCCACAAGACAATGGATTTCTACCAGTATTCTTTAATACAATGAAAATTATTCTGTGTTCTTTACAACTCTTCAAAGATTTCCAAACAGCTTCTCTGTAATATTGAACAAGAACTGACTTTCTTTGCTTAGTAATTCTCCTAGAGGTAATGTTATTTTATTATATTGACTAACTGCTTGGCTTATATAATTGACAGTCCAGCTGTTTGCCTAAGTGGCAAATATAAAACACTGTGAAACAGCCTGTGATTGGAAAGAGTGTCCCTTTCTGATTACTTATGGCTAACTTATTTTTTTCTGTGACAAATCTTACTAGGTTGAACACTTTAAAGTTAGTAGAGTTTCAAAAAAATCTGAATGGGCTGTATGGAAATGGTTGTTGTTTAATCAGACCTAGTTAGGAACTCGTTAAATATGTAAAATATTATCTTTTTTTGTAGTCATTGAATGAAGATTTCTCTAATGTCCTCCAAATAATTATCTGTCAACATATTTCACATAGAATGTATTATTATAACATATTTTTTCACATATCTCATTTCATATAATACATCAATATACTTAATATAGTGTAAAAATTATCTATTCAAATTATCAGCATATATTATAAAAAATGTAGAATTTTTTATGCTGCTGTCTGTAATTATAGTGCTGATTTGAGGGACTCAGGTTCACCCTCAAGTTGGTTGATTTGCTAGAACAGTGGTTCTCAACCTTCCTAATGCCGCGACCCTTTAATACAGTTCCTCATGTTGTGGTGACCCCCAACCATAAAATTATTTTCGTTGCTACTTCATAACTATAATTTTGCTACTGTTCTGAATCGTAATGTAAATATCTGATATGCAGGATTTATTTTCATTGTTACAAATTGAACATAATTAAAGCGTAGTGATTAATCACAAAAACAATATGTAATTATATATGTGTTTTCCGATGGTCTTAGGCGACTCCTGGGAAAGGGTCCTTCGACCCCCAAAGGGGTCGCGACCCACAGGTTGAGAACCACTGTGCTAGAAAGACTCATAAGGCCCATAGCAGGGTACTTACGGTTTATACAGCAAAAAGATAGAAAGCAAAAATAACAGGGAAAAGATAAGCATCAAGTAGGGTTCAGAGAGGTTAGACACAAGTTTCTAAATCTTCCCCTATCCATCATCACATAGCATGTGCTTTCTCTCTTATTATTAACTTCAGTGACAAGTACCAAGAGTCTCTGCCCAAAGAAGCCTGACTAACTCTCAAGGTCTGAGGTATTTTAAAGGGCTGGTCATATAGCAATAACTTTCTATGTAACCAGTCGAAACTCAAAACCCTAATAGTAAAATCAGACATACATCAATAATCTTGATGTTTGTGCGAATCAATCTTGACAAGCCAGTATGACAAACTCCACTTTTCAAGGTGTTCAAAAGAAAATTATTAATCATTAATGGAAACTTTTCAAAGGCCACATTCTTGGTAGCTAATCAAGTCTCAGTTATAGTTCCAAGTTCCCTTGGAGAGATGTGCAAAAAGTGAACAACCAGGTGTTCTGTGTTAAGTTCCTTCACAATTGGTTAAGTCCCCTACTGTAATTTTTCATATATGCTCTTTTTGTTTGTTTCATTACAAGAAAACCACAAAACACAACCCTCTATTGAAGTTTTCTTAGTGTTGACTTAATGAGAGTGGTCATATTGGAGAAGTATACACCATTAGATAACTTTTAATAAAATAGATTCTTAGTATAAAACCTACTTGACAACAACTAAGGGTTGTTTTTTTTTATAGTTTTAAATTGAGAACTTTAGTAAGATTTGTAAATGCAGATATAAATGTGTGATTTCTCTGATTAGATACGTTTTCTCAGAAGTGATGTCAGAAAAAATGTAAAGGTACCTATGTATATGTATATGTGTCTGTTTATAAATCTGCACCTAGTGGCATAGAAATAATAAGCCCTAGAGTCAGACAGCCTGGCTCCTGTCACTTTTTAGTGGATAGCCTTTGGGCAAGTTACTTAATACCTTGGATTTCTCACCTATAAAATGTGGGTAATGCTATTTCCCACTTCATAGGATTACTATAAAAATTAAATTTGTTAATCAATATAAAACATTTAACACAGAGCCCTATAGCAATAGTGTCAACTCTAATCTTATAATTGCTATTAATAATTATTGAAATAATTACCAATTTTATTTCTCAAGAAAAAAACATAGCTAGGAAACTACCTGTAATATATAATAATAGATAGTAAGTTGTATGTTAGGTTGTGACCAATAAAAATATAGATTAGATTTTATTGTAGACCTTCTTGTCCTATTATAGAGTATACATTATAGGAAAATATGCATCTCATAATAAAGCATCAAAACATGACACGAAGGCTACCAAATTTATGGAAGAAATAGACAAATAGGACATTTTATTATTATAAAGTTTCCCTCTTTGTATCTTGTCTAATATTTACATGGTCACAGCAGCTTTTTTTTTTTTTTTTCCTTGTTCTTCAGTCACTTATTTTAATTTCCAAGCCCTATTACCTTCTCACCAGAGCCATTTACTGATCTTTTTGCTTTTCTGTACACCTTCCTGGATGACTTCAGCTTCTGGTTTGTGGTTTTATCACAGTCCTTGATTTTGTCCAGCTACCAACCTCAGTGAATTTTATAAGCATGGCATTGAGAGTATGGAAAAACACTGCTTTGATAGTTTTTCTCTAATCTTCTCAAATTTCTTTTTCTTTTTTTTTTTTAATTAAATCTTTATTGTTCAGATTATTACATTTGTTCCTCTTTTTTTTCCTCCCCATAACTCCCCTCCTCCCAGTTCCCGCCCCACCCTCCGCCCTCACTCCCCACCCACTGTCCTCATCCATAGGTGCACGATTTTTCTCCAGTCTCTTCCCGCATCTCCCACACCCCTTTCCCCCCCAGGAATAGTCAGTCCATTCCCTTTCTATGTCCCTGATTCTATTATAATCGACAGTTCATTCTGTTCATCAGATTATTTATTCACTTGATTCTTAGATTCACTTGTTGATAGATGCATATTTGTTGTTCATAAATTGTATCTTTACCTTTTTCTTCCTCTTCCTCTTCTTAAAGGATACCTTTCAGCATTTCATATAATCCTGGTTTGGTGGTGATGAACTCCTTTAGCTTTTCCTTATCTGTGAAGCTCTTTATCTGACCTTCAATTCTGAATGATAGCTTTGCTGGATAAAGTAATCTTGGTTGTAGGTTCTTGGTATTCATCACTTTGAATATTTCTTGCCACTCCCTTCTGGCCTGCAAAGTTTCTGTTGAGAAATCAGCTGACAGTCGTATGGGTATTCCCTTGTAGGTAACTGACTTTCTTTCTCTTGCTGTTTTTAAGATTCTCTCTTTATCTTTTGCTCTTGGCATTTTAATGATGATGTGTCTTGGTGTGGTCCTCTTTGGATTCCTTTTGTTTGGGGTTCTCCGCGCTTCTTGGACCTGTAAGTCCATTTCTTTCACCAGGTGGGGGAAGTTTTCTGTCATTATTTCTTCAAATAGGTTTTCAATATCTTGCTCTCTCTCATCTTCTGGCACCCCTATAATTCTGATGTTGGTATGCTTGAAGCTGTCCCAGAGGCTCCTTACACTATCCTCGCATTTTTGGATTCTTTTTTCATTTTGCTTTTCCGGTTGGGTGTTTTTTGCTTCCTCGCATTTCAAATCATTGACTTGATTCTTGCGCTCCTCTGGTCTGCTGTCGGGAGTCTGTATAATATTCGTTATTTCAGTCCGTGTATGCTTAATTTCTTGTTGGTTCCCCAATATAAGATCGAGGGTCTCATTAGTTTTCTTGTAGATCTCATTAAGTTTATCGGCGGCTTCTAAACAGTTCTTGAGAGACCTTAAAAGTGTGGTTCTGAACTCTATATCTTCCATTGACAATTTTGTCCTGTTTCTTTGTCTCCGCATTTTGTTATGCTTCCTTGGTGCACCCCCTAGTGGTCTTTGTTCGCAGTCTTATAGTTAAATCTTGATTGTTGTAGCTAATTCCAGGGAGGGTTTGACCTCCAGGCCAAGTGGCTATGAGAATCAGCTGTGTCAGCAGTGAGAGAACTTCTGTCCTCTAGGGAGGTGCTAATCTAGCGTTTGCCTGAGGCTATCCGGCAAATGCCTGTGTGCAGGGCTTGGGCGGGGCGGGTCGCACAGGATCAACAGGGTGGGCCAGAGAGAGCAGTTATGGCGGCTCTCAGTCCTGTCCCCAGGGGCTCTGCCTCTCAGAGTCCCAGCACCCGCTGCAAAGCTCAGAGAGAAAGCTGCACTCGCTCTGACCGAAGCCAGACAGTCCCGCTTCTCCCGTTTGAGTCTGGGTCCCTAAAGACTCGCCCGGATCTGGAGCTCAGATTCTGCGACTCCCTCCCGATTGAAAACGCCAACCGCGCCCTCCGCCGCCAGCCCGCTCCGCGCACTCCGCACCTCAGAATTTGACTTCAGCACTGCGCCTCCTCTGAGTGTCCGTATGCGTTTCTCTTTCCTCCTAGTTGTAGGACTTCCACTCAGCCAGCGTTGCTGTGGTTCTGGGTGATGTCCCTTCCGTTTTTTGGTTTCACTTTTGAAGTAGTTGTTCAAAGCAGCAAACTCCGGCGTTAACCTATGCCACCATCTTGGTTCTCCAAGCAGCTTTTTTATATTTACTTTTTTCAGTGTATTTATGTCTTCATATTTAAAGTGAGTATCTAGGAGAAAGAAACAAAGTTATTTCTTGATGTCTTATCCCATGTGACAATCCATATATTTTGATAGGAAATTTTAGTCTGTTTACGCGTGTTATAATTATTGTTTTTTTTAAATATATTTTATTGATTTTTTACAGAGAGGAAGGGAGAGGGATAGAGAGTTAGAAACATCGATGAGAGAGAAACATCGATCAGCTGCCTCTTGCACACCTCCTATTGGGGATGTGCCCGCAACCAAGGTACATGCCCTTGACCGGAATCGAACCCGGGACCCTTCAGTCCGACGCTCTATCCACTGAGCCAAACCGGTCAGGGCATGTGGTATAATTATTGATATGGTTGTATTTAGGTCTTCTGTTTTATAATTTTAAAAATTTGTTTCACCTAAATTTTGTTTCTATGTGGTTTCTTTTTTTTCTCTTTATTTTGTGTTAATCTTATGGGATTTTAAAAAACATTTTACCTTAATTCTCCTGTTTCCCTTTTATTTTTGTTTTTCAGTTTCTACTTCTTAATTGCACATTCATTAATGTATTTCCTTTAATTCTCTCTCTCTTTTCTCTCTCTCTCTCTCTCTCTCTCTCTCTCTCTCTCTCTCTCTCTCCCTCCCTCCCTCCCTCCCTCCCTCCCTCCCTCACCGGAGGATACCTTTCCATTGATTTTTACAGAGTGGAAGAGAGAGGGAAAGACAGAGAGAAACATCAATGTGAAAGAAACATATCAATTGGTTGCCTCCTGCACACAAGGACCAGGGCCCAGGCCAGGGAGGAGCCTGCAACCAAGGTACCTGCGGTGGACGGGAATTGAACCCGGAACCCTAAGCAGATGCTCTATCCACTGAGCCAAACTGGCTAGGGCCTTTGAATATATTTTTAACAGCTACTTTGCAGTTTTTGCTAAATTCAAAATCTGGCTTCACTTGGAACCATTTTCCATTAACTACCTTTTGTCTTTGGTTGTATTCTACTGGTCTTTGCATATTTGTCTAGTAATTTTTGTTGTTGGTTTTGTTGTTATTGTTATTATGTGGGTCCCCTGTGTCTTGCACAATCCCCATCTGCTCCCTGCAGGCATTTTAACTGACCCTCACCTACTTCCCCCACCTCCCATCAGGACCCCAGTTTAATGTAACACTCAAATCTCCGGTATCTGCAGGAGGTGGTCTGTGGTGGGTGGAGCTCCAGGGGTAGTAATATTACTGTGCAGGAGGCTTAAAGTTCACAAAGGCGGTGTGGCGGATGGAGTTCCAAGTTTGGGGGCTCTGAGTCCAGAATACCCTGAGGGCTCAGGATGGAGGGAAGATGGATTTGGGGACAAAAGGTCGGTGATGTTCAGATTTGTGGTGGGGAACAGAGTCGGTTGAAATCCAGGATGGGGGAGTCTGAGTCCCGGAGGACCGATTTGGGATCGATTTGGGATCCGGCACTCCTAGGTGCTGGAGTCTGAGCCCGAGGCCATATTGTGGGGGAGGGGATGGGAGGGGCACGCAGCCCAGGAGGGGGAGCCCAGGCGCCGGGCCGGGCAGCCCGTGGTGGTCGCGCACAGACGCACAGCCACGCGCAGCCTGGGAGCGAAGCTTCCCCAGCGATGGTGAGCAGCTCCAGCTCCTTAATCCTAATCTGCGCCTTAATTCTGATCTCCAGCTCACAGAACCCGGGGATTGGAGGCAGAGGCAGGGCGAGCCAGAGGCTGTGGGGCCTGGCGGGCGGGGGGTGGGGGTGGGGTGGGGGGGCAGCCATTTTGGGCTTGCCCCGGTGGAAGGGTGGAGGCTCACAGGGATGAGGGCCAGGTTCTCGGACCCAGGCCAGGGCGGTGGGGGGCCTCGGGCCATCGCCTTCAACCGCAGCAAGAGCTGCTTCTGCGGGTCTAGAGAGGCTCCGGTAGGGCGTCCAGGGAAGGAAGTAGATGGGCGGGGCTGGCCACTGGCTCACTGTGGGGCAATTTTTGATAAATACAAAATTTAGTAAATTTTGAAATGTGAACCCTAGAGATATGTTGTGGTGACTAGGTTCTGTTACATTCTTTGAGGCTTTGTTAAGTACTTTTAATATGAGTTTTACAGATTTGTGTTTGTTAAGTCATTTTCTATGAAATCATTGTCATAGAAAGGTTTATAATTGTAGGACCTAGAATTTATATCATTGTCTTGGGATTGGGCCTGAATTTTGTACCCTGAAGAATTGGTTTTCTTTAACTTAACAAAACTTGAGATTTGCAGATGAAAAATTGATTTTAGTTAATCTGCGGTGTAATCTATCATAAAGTAATTATGATTAGCATTTGCAGTCATGCGCCGCTTAACTGAGGTACCTTCTGGGAAATGCGTCGTTAGGGGATCACAGAGAATACTTACACGAGCCTGGATGGTATAGCTTACTACACACCTAGGCTACATGGCATAGCCTGTGGCCCCTCAGCTGCATGCCTGTACAGCGTGTTACTGTACACAAGAGAAAGTCATGCAATCATTGAACCAGGTTTTCATTATCTTCGTTTCTCCTCAGTATTATTTCATTTTTCCTTTATGCCTGCCAACGTTTCTTTTGCAAAATGAAGGTGTGTTGTTTTTCAGAGTGGAAAAGCCACAGCCAGTGATTCAGGTGGTGTCATTGATCTTACAATGGATGATGAAGAGAGTGGAACTTCACAAGGTATTTAAATATAAGTAATCATACTAAGTGATGCTTTGGTGCCATTTTTTTCTCTTAATCCAATTTAATACTCACTGAAGATAGTTTATTCTTGGTGTATTTGTATCCTCTCCAGAATGAGGTTTTTTTTTAGATTAGAATTAAAAAATAGAAATAAAATCTTGAAAGAATATGAAAAGGCATAGTGGAAAACGGAGCAATTAGGAGAATATTTAACTTATGGAACATCTCTCTTTTTATATCTGTTATTTCACATGATCCTTGTAATAGCCATGTAATGCCCACTTGAGAGTTGAGGATAGATTGATAGAGTATGAATCAGTAAGGTAAGTGGAAATTCAACCCAGGACTTCTGACTCTAAATGGTGTGTGCGTGTGTGTTTTAATCTAGGTATTTTTAAGTGTATATACACTTAATTTGGTTATTTGAATTAATTTCCTTTAGTGTTATTTAAAAGAAAATGAAAGTAATATTAAAAAGCATGCACACCCCAATATTGCTCTGTTATAATATTTAGAAATAGTATTAGGTAGATATTACCCAATATTCCAAAGTATTCTTCTGCATTTTAATAGACATTCAATGAGTAAAAAGTTTCATGGTTAAATATGCTTAGTAAACAAAATTATGTTTTTTTCTTTTTATTAATTTATTTTTATTGTTGAAAGTATTACAGGTATGTCTCCCTTTTCCCCTATTGACTCCCTCTACCCCACCTTTGCCCCCCCTAATGTTTTTTCTTAATACAGACTTCTCTAAGCCATTGCTAATTTATAATGTAATTCTCAGTGATTCAAGATATAAAGTAATTTTCAAACATATTTGACTGTACAAAATAACTTTGTTCATGGACGTATCTATAAACCTCTGGTGATAATTATATAATGCATGTGGAAAATCTAGTATCATGAGGTATTAGGGCCTTAAAGACGTTAAATTTAAAAAACCTAAACATTTAAAAAAATTGCATTTTAGGGGGTAAGATAGTTAATTTGGTTTTAAGAAAACAAAATTAAGTGGCTTTACAATTGATTATGGGACAGGAAAGTCAGTTATTTTTTTTTTGGTGTAAAACTGCTGTAATTTTGGAAGATTTATGCCATCATTTGTCAAGGTTGAATTCATACCGGTATCGCTATTCTTAAAAAGTTTCAGGTTACCTGTAATCTTTTCACTATTATTTCATAGACAAGTTAAGTGTAATGAATTCCTAGAGGACAGAAATATATAGGTTATTTTTGAGAGGACACAGGTTGGGTTATTCTGAATTAAAAATAAACGTTTATTATCAGTGCTCTTGCAGTTTATCTTTCTAGCATCCCTGCCTCATGGGCACTCTTTCCATTGCTTCACCTTTGAATGTACCTTAAATTCTCTTATTCTAAGGTGCATTATTTTCCATGAGCACCCAATTAAAATTTTACTTGCTAAAGCCTTAAATTTTATTTACAATTTATAATTTTATTTACATAGAAATTTATTTACATTTTAGAATTACATAGGACAGAAATCAGTGGGAATCATTTTGGATAGCAGAGCTTTTGGCTTACCCTCTTTATAATACACCATATAGTGGTTACCTATTTTCAAGGGCTTTTTCTGAGATGCAAACATTAATTTCATAGGCTATTGTAGACTTTTTTTGAGATATACACTCTGTGTATTATATTTTAAAGACTGGATAGTATAAATTGCCATCTGTGTTAAGCAAGAGAACAATATTAGAGTAATTGGAATTCAAGATCTTTGGTGAAAAACTCAGCAGTTTATAGGTATTTGTCTAGGGCAGTGGTCGGCAAACTGTGGCTCGCGAGCCACATGCGGCTCTTTGGCCCCTTGAGTGTGGCTCTTCCACAAAATAAATACCGACTTCTGCACATGGGCCACGAAGTTTCAGTCACACTGTACGTGCGTGTCTGCACGTGGTATTTTGTGGAAGAGCCACACTCAAGGGGCCAAAGAGCCGCATGTGGCTTGCGAGCCACAGTTTGCCAAACACTGGTCTAGGGGAATGTCCTTGATATAGCTATATATATATATTACAAATATATATTAATGTAGGAAATGAAATTATTCTAATTGACATGATACTGTATTGAGTTCAGTAAAAGGATTGACTCATAAAAAACAGTCAAAACATAAAACTACCTTTTTGTACATTTTAATTAGGATCTGTGAGAGAACTAACAGTGAGTTATTTAAGGTCCTGACTTGGTTTTCAGATTGGCAAATACACATCTACAATAATAAAAGCGTAATATCTAATTAGACCAGACAGCCGAACGACCTTATGGACATCATTCTGGACGTCCTTCTGGACAAAGCCGCTGTGGCAGGGGCCGAGGCAGAGGCAGTTAGGGGCGATCAAGCAGGCAGGCGAGCGGTTAGAGGCAATCAGGCAGAGGCAGTTAGGGGCGATCAGGCAGGCAGGCAGAGTGGTTGGGACGATCAGGCAGGTAGGTGAGTGGTTAGGGGCAATGAGGCAGGCAGGCAGAGTGGTTAGGGGCAATGAGGCAGGCAGGCCAGCCGTTAGGAGCCAGCAGTCCCGGATTGCAAGAGGGACACCCCCCGAGGGGTCCCATATTGCTAGAGGGTGCAGGCTGGGCTGAGGGGACCCCCCCACCAATGCACAAATTTCGTGTACCGGGCCTCTGGTAGTTAAATAGAAAGAAGTTGTTTTGTTAGCGGTAAATGTGACTTGGTGGCAGGCAAAAGTAAATTTTACCCATAAAGGAAATCCTGTATTTCTAATTTTTTTCTATCAATAATCATAATGTCTCACTTTTAATTAACAGACACTAAAAAGCCAACTCACACTCCAGTGTCAGCCATGAGTTCTTCTCAGTCTGTGTCTCGGCCGTTGCAACCTATCCAGCCAGCACCACCTCTTCAACCATCTGGGGTGCCAACAAGTGGACCATCTCAGACAACAATACACTTACTACCTACAGGTAAACTTGCTGAATCATTAAACCAAAGCTTTAGTTTTGTCTACAGTGAAATAGGACTATGGAATCAAGTGGAAAGATTAGACAAAAAATTCTTATTGTTATTTTGAAGATAACGTGCCTTTTGAACGCTGTATAACTGAGTTTTCCTGTCATTAAGTAGCAGCACTTATATAGAATGGTTATATAGAAGGCTTAAACTATATGCCTTTGTCATTTGCTACTGAAAACAGCAGAAAATATCCTTTCTTAGGAAGGATGGGTGTAATGATTCATTCTGGTTATAACCAAGAAGGTATAATTGACTAATTAAATAAGAATTTAAAAATAATTCTTAACTTGAACTAGTTTTAAGTGGCCTAACACTATCAACAGGAGATATAACACTAATATTTTATTTGCACCTTCAAGAAGCTGTAAATCAGACATTTTCAAGGTATAGCCTATATCTCCTAAACTGTTTGGAAGCCAATCAAGACAGTTTTTCTTCATACAATAAACCATTGCTTATAGATTTATCTGCAAAATATTTACATAAACACAATTTTCATTAAGGAAAACATTGAATTCACATGGAATTGTTTCCAGTGAAATTAAAATGACACTCACCTAATTTAGAAAGAAGTATCATCATGTAAACCCAAGTGCAGTATAGGTAACGAAAATGGGGACTAAAGACTGTCTTCCATTTTCTAACTCAAAAAATGAGGCTTTGTAAAGACTAAGGAGTCTTCAGTAAAGACACCTTTTTATCTTTGTTGTACCCAGCATTTACCTCCAAATGTATTTATAGAACCCATTTTTTCCATATGAAAGATTTGTTAATTGTTTTTTATTATAAAGTTAATATATGGTTATTTGTAAAATGTGATTCTAATTCAGAGAGTTATTAACAAGAAGCTAACTCCTAAAATCAGTATTGTAGTTCATGCTGTGAGTGAACATTTAAGATTCAGTTTTGACAAATATATATTAACGTCATTCAAGGCATTAATGCTCTTATGCCATAGGTTAGGAAGAATGCCATAGTAGAGAAGGAAGAAGTCTGTGTTTTAATGGATATTCTATTGTTTTGAATAGATGGTTTGGCTTACCCGAAGAAAATGTCAGTTATAATACCCAACCAGTTTCTTGAACTGTGGGAATACAGAGTTACTCTTGGATTTATGCTCATTTGCAGATAGTCTGGAGGGCCTAAAATTCCACTCTGCTAAGAACATTTTAACATAGAGGAGGGAAAATCTGCTTTTTTAAGTCACTCCTATAAGTTAGTAATTGCGAGTCTAAACCTTTTCTTTCATGTTTATTATGTAGTCAAACTAAAGAGTGGAAAGGGCACTCTGGCCATTGTGGCTCAGAGTGTCCATCTGCACACTGAAGGGTCTCAGGTTCAATTCCCAGTCAGAAGCTGATACCTGGTTTGTAGGTTCAGTCATTGGCCCTAGTCAGGGCATGTGCAGGAGGCAGCCAATCGTTGTGTCTCTCTCACATTAATGTCTCTCTCTTTCTTTTTCCCCTTCCCTCTCTCCCTCCCTTCCACTTTCTAAAAATCAATGGAGAAAATATCCTCAGGTGAGGAAAAACAAAAAAGTGGAAAGGGCATTGGACAGGGTTGAGATGTTCTTTTTCTCTGAAGTTTGTAGTAATATTAGTAATTTTGGTTGGCTTTATCACGATTGCAAAAGGAGACTGTTGTCTCTATATCTATTATTAGAGTTAGTACAGAGTTAATTAACATTTAATACTCTTCATTTAACATAAATTGTACTGTATTCTTATTACATTTTTCTGCTTTTTATTAGCTCCAACCACTGTGAATGTAACACATCGTCCAGCAACTCAGGTGACCACGAGACTTTCTGTACCAAGAGCTCCTGCAAACCAAGTGGTTTATACAACTCTCCCTGCACCAACAGCTCAGGCTCCCCTGCGAGGAACTGTTATGCAGGCTCCTGCTGTTCGGCAGGTCAATCCCCAAAATAGTAAGAGACTCTTTTCTTGTATATGGCCCAAGTTGTATATAGTTCTTAAGCGTTTAGTTGGAGTAGCTTTTAAAATAAAAAAATAAAATAAAGTGAACCACCATTGAACTCTCTACCAGGCTAAGAAATAGAGCTTTATCAGAATCTTACAAGCCTGTTTTATGTCCTTCCTTAATTGCGTCTCTTTCCCTTTCCATCAGAGGTAACCATCATCCTTACTTTGTGCTTTGCGGTATGGTTTTGCCACTTCCATAGTAGGTCTCAGTAAAAATCTTTAATTTTCCAAAATTTAATAGCAAGGATAAATTTAGCTATTTAAAGATCCTGCAGTAATGAAATGTTGGTTTTTTAAATATTTATTAAATTGATTGGGGTGACATTGGTTAACATGAACATAAACGTTTTAGGTGTGGGTTTCTATGTTACAAGATCTGTATACCCTCCACCCAGAGTCAAATGTTCTCCTATTACCTTATATTAGGACTCTCTTCTCCCCTTATCCCCTTCCCTCTGGCAATTACCACACTGCTTTTTGTGTTCAGGAGCTTCTGTTTTATATCCCACATACAAGTGAAATCATATAGTTCTTAGCTTTTCCTGACAGATTTATTTCACTTAGCATAGTGTTCTCAAGGTCTGTCCATATTGTTGCAAATGATGCTATTTCATCCTTTCTTAAGGCTGAGTAATATTCCATTGTGTCTGTCTACGTACCACATCTTCTTTATCTAGTCCTCTATAGTGGGACACTTTGGTTGTTGCCATGTCTTGGCCACTATGAATAGTGCTGCAATGAACATAGGGGTGCATATATCTTGGCGAATACATGATTTTGAGTTTTGGGGGTAAATACCCAGGAGAGGGATTGCTAGGTCGTATGGTAGCTCTATTCTTAATTTTCTGAGGAGTTGCCAGACTGCTTTCCATAGTGGTTGAACCAGTCTACATTCCCACCAGCAGTGGATAAGGTTTCCTTGTTTCCATAATCTCTCCAACACTTGTTATTGCTTGTCTTATTGATAATGGCCACTCTAACAGGTGTAAGGTGGTATGTGGTATCTCATTGTAATTTTGGTTTGCATTTCCCTAATTGCCAGTGAGGTTGAACATCTTTTCATATATCTATTGGCTGTTCATATGTCTTCTTGGGAGAGGTGTGTTTTCAGGTCCTCTGCTCACTTTTTGATTGGGTTGTTTGGTGTTGAGTTTTATGAGTTCTTTATATATTTTGGAAATTAAAGCTTTTTTGGAGCTACTGTTTGCAAATATCATCTTCCATCTGGTTGGCTGCCTCTTTGCTTTATTGTCAGTTTCTTTTGCTGTGTAGAAGCTTTTTAGTTTGATATAGTTCCATTCATTTATTTTTGCCTTTATTTTCCTTGTCTTTGGGATCAAGTTCATAAAATGTTCTCTGTGACCAAGGTCCATAAACTTGGTCCTTATAATTTTCTTCTATGTAACTTATTGTTTCAGATCTTATATTTAGATCTTTGATCCATTTTGAATTAATTTTTGGACATTGGAACAAACTGTAATCCAGTTTCATTCGTTTACATGTGGCTTTCCAGTTTTCCTAGCATTTATTGAAGAGACTATCTTTATTCCATGTGTGTCTATGGCTCCTTTGTCAAAAATTATCTGTCCCATATACATGTCTTTTTATAGCTGGGTTTGGTTGCAATTACAAAAGGAATTGTTTGTTTTTTTTCCATTTCTTTTTCTGAAGTTCTGTTAGTGTACAGGAAGGCAATGGATTTTTGCACATTAATTTTGTATCCTGCAACTTGACTTCTTTTGTTTATTGTTTCTAATATTTTTTTGGTGGCATCTTTAAGGTTTTGTATATACAGAAACACATTGTCTGAAAAAGTGACAGTTTGACTTTTTCCTTCCCTATTTGGGTGCCTTTTATTTCTTTCTCTTGCCTTATTGCTCTGGCTAGGACTTCCAGCACTATTTTTATATATAAAAGCGACTGGAAAGGTGGGACGACCAGTTCCACCAGTGTCTATGACATGCACTATGGCAGCCAACCAGCCTGATCCAGGCCGGATTGGACGCGGGGTTAGCCAACTGCCCGTGGCCCTCCCTCCCCCCCCCCCCCCCCCGCCGACTCAGCCCCATGGGCTCCTATCGGAGGGCAGGCCGGACTCCACCCATGCACGAATTTGTGCTCCAGGCCTCTAGTGTTGAATAAGAGTGGTGAGAGTGGCCGAAAACCGGTTTGGCTCAGTGGATAGAGCGTCGGCCTGCGGACTGAAGGGTCCCGGGTTCGGTTCCGGTCAAGGGCATGTGCCTGGGTTGTGGGCACATCCCCAGTGGGGGGTGTGCAGGAGGCAGCTGATCGATGTTTCTCTCTCATCGATGTTTCTAGCTCTCTATCTCTCTCCCTTCCTCTCTGTGAAAAATCAATAAAATATATTTAAAAAAAAAAAAAAAAAGAGTGGTGAGTGTGGACATCCATTCTTGTTCCTTAGCTTAGAGCAGTGGTTCTCAACCTTCCTAATGCCGCGACCCTTTAATACAGTTCCTCATATTGTGGTGACCCCCAATTTCATTGTTACAAATTGAACATAATTAAAGCATAGTAATTAATCACAAAAACAATATGTAATTATATATGTGTTTTCCGATGGTCTAAGGCAACCCCTGTGAAAGGGTCATTCGACCCCCAAAGAGGTCTCGACCCACCAGTTGAGAACCGCTGGCTTAGAGGAAAAGCTTTCAGTTTTTCACCATTGAGTATATATGTTGTATTGTCATTCTTATTTGTCTGTATATATCTCTTTATCTCATTTTTTATTTCTTCTTTTATCCAGTCATTTTTTAGTAGTATGTTGTTTAATCTCCTTGTATTTGTGGGTTTCTTTACTTCCATTTTGCAGTTGATTTCTAATTTCAAGTCTTCCTCATCATAGAATATGCTTGGTATAATTTCAGTTTGAATTTGTTGATGTTAATTTTGTGATCCAAGATATGGTCTATCCTTGAGAATGTTCCATTTGCACTGGAGAAGAATTTATAATCTGATGTTCTGGGATGAAAGGTTCTATAAATGTCAATTATATCCATTCGGTGTAGTGTTTCATTTAAGGCCGTTATTTCTTTATTGATTTTCTGTTTGGTTGATCTGTCTAGAGCTGTCAATGATTGTGTTTTGATCTGTTCTTCTCTAGTTCTGTGAGTAATTTTATATATTTTGGTGCTCCCTGATTGGGTGCATATATATTAAGAAATGTTACGTTTATTTGATGTAGTGTTCCCTTTATCATTATAAAGTGTCCATTGTTGTCTCTAAATCTATTTTGTCAGCTATAAGTATGGCTTGTCTGTGGTTGTTATTTGCTTGGAGAATCATTTTCCACCCTTTTACTTTGACTCTACCTTTGTCTTTGCAGCTTAGATGTGTCTCTTGAAGGCAGCATATGCTTGGTTTTTTTGTGTTTTTTCTTTTTTTATCCACTCTGCTACTCTGTGCCTCTTAATTGATGAGTTCAGACCATTTACATTTAGGGTAATTACTGATGTATGAAGGTTTCCTATAGCCATTTTATCTTTTGTTTTCAGTTAGCTCTGTGCCTCCATTGGTTCTTTCTTTACCTTTATGTTTCTGTCTGTTGCTTTTGTTTGGTGGCATTCCATACATCTTTCCTCTCTTTTTAATCTATATGTCCTGGTTTGGAAATTTTTGTGTGTGTTACCATTAGGTTTATAAAAATAAAGTTGCATATATACCATAGTTTTTTTCCTTTTGCATGCATCTGATCTTCATCTTCCTTTGCCAGTTCAGACCTTTTGCTTTCTCCCCATTTATGTTTTTGTTGTCATAAATTATCACTGTTTATGCTGTAAGTTTTTTGGTGATTTTACTCGTAGTATTGTGACCTTATGTTCTTTGTTTCAGCTAGAACAGCCGTGGGCAAACTAAGGCCCGCGGGCTGGATCCGGCCAGTTTGAAATGAATAAAACTAAAAAAAAAAAAAAAAAAAAAAAGACCGTACCCTTTTATGTAATGATGTTTACTTTGAATTTATATTAGTTCACACAAACATTCCATCCATGCTTTTGTTCCGGCCCTCCGGTCCAGTTTAAGAACCCATTGTGGCCCTCGAGTCAAAAAGTTTGCCCACCCCTGAGCTAGAATAACCCCTTGATTATTTCCTGCAATGGTTTTCTGGTGATAAACTCTCTCAGCTTCTGTATGTCTGGGAACATCTTTATTTCTCCTTCACATTTAAAGGATAATTTTGCTGGATATATTATTTTTGGATGGTAATTTCTCTCTGAATATTTGGTTATACTCTTTTCTGTCTTGTAGAGTTTCTGCTGAGAAGTTGGATGAAATTCTGATGAGTTTTCCTTTGTAGGTCACTTCCTTCTTTTCCCTGGCTGCTCTGAGAATTTTTTCTTTGTCATTAATTTTTGACAGCTTCAATACCAAGTGCCTTGGAAGAGGCCTTCTTTGGATTGAGGTAGCAAGGTGTTCTATTTGCTTCTTGGATTTGAGGATCTAGTTCTTTCCATAGATTTGGGAAGTTCTCATCTATTATTTGTTTTGATAGACTCTCCATTCCATGTCCCCACTCTTTCTCCTCCGCAATGTCTATAATTCTAATATTGCCTTTTCTGATGGAGTCAGATAGTTCTCATAGAGCTCTTTCATTTTTCTTTATTCTCAGGTCTCTCTTTTTTTCCCTCTGCATAATTTCTTGATTCCTATCTTCGATATCACTGATTCTTTCCTCTATCTGGTTGGTTCTATTTTCTGTGCTCAGTAGATCACTCTTTTTAAAAACATATATATTTTAATTGATTTCAGAGTACCTGCCAGAATTATAGCCCAGGGAAGTATGTAGCTCTAAATTTTCTGCTTCTGTTACCCTGATGTACAGCAAAACAGTTTACTGTTGGTTAAAGTGAGTATCCATAACTGATTAGCAGAAGGCATGGAGAGAAAGAGAAGAACTTCATAACAGAAGACAGGAATAACTTAGTAGGGTTTTTTTTTTTCCTTTTTTTCCATTCTTTATAGTGAAAAAGACATACCCTGGCTAGTTTGGCTCAATTGGCTGAGCATTGACTTGTGCACCAAAAAGGTCACTTGCTCGATTTCTGGTCAGAGCACGTGCCCAGGTTGTGGGTTCAGTCCCCAGTCCGGATGCTTACTAGAGGCAACCGATCAATGTTTCTCTCTCCCTCCCTCCCCCTCTCCCTTGCTCTCTCTAAATCCAGTAAAAACATATTTAAAAACAAAACAAACAAGACAGCAGAGACTTTTGTGGCGATAGCTTTATGTTTTCTGTCTTTAAGGTCATACTGCTCCATTCTGGGCTGTTTGCCTTCTACATGTGAGCCACCAGTGTTCCAGTGTTCTAGGATTTTGCTCATAGTCCTTTTAGTAGGGATTCCATTTGTTTCTCTCCTGTGCAGGAACTATTGTTCCTTGTGTCTACTCTTTTCCTCTTTATTTTCTCTTTTATATTTGTGATACACATCCTCTGGAGGCTACTTGAGAAGTAGATTTTTTTTTGGTTGTTTGCATATATGAGAACTTCTTTGTCTTCATGCTGGAATGATACTTTGGCTGAGTGTAGACTTCTAGGTTAGAAATATTTTTCTTTTCATATTTTAAAAATATCATTTTACTGACTTCAGGTATGTAATCAGTGTTCTGCCAAATGTAGAATAAAGTTCTAATTTATTTCTTAATTTTGTTTTGTAGGTGTCACGGTTCGAGTGCCTCAAGCAACTACATATGTTGTAAACAATGGAATAGCCCTGGGATCCCCAGGACCTCAGCTCACAGTGCATCATCGACCACCACAGGTGCACACTGTAAGTGTTGATCGTGACGCAAAATTCTTAGCTATGAAGCTGTCAAATATTATTTTTCTTTAAACTAGTTATATCAAAAGAAAATGACAGATCTTCCATTTTTCGTGCAGAAGTTTATTTAAGAGACTAGATCTTACATTATGAACAAATGTTCCTAGGGATGATGGTGGTCAAGGATCGTAGAGCTTGTGGTGGCTTATAATGTATAAAAAGAGTCCACAGGTGGGGCATGTGAAATGAAAGAGATGACTATTTTAACTCATGGTTAAATTAAAAATATTTTAGAGTATTAAAAAGCATATTTTAAAAACCATGTTTTGATGCTCTAACTTTATTCTTTTCCTCAAAACATTATACCAGTTCTAACTACTACATTGCTGCCACTTTATTGTTTTTACTAATTCAGTGGTATTCGGAATTCGTTGCTCAGAGATAACAGAAAATCACAAGATTTCCCCTTAGATGTAATGTAGTCTCCAAAATAATGTCACATTATCCTGTGACATGATTATAACAGTATTTGGTTTGGTATACCATGTAAATGGAAATATACTGGCTTTATGAGGAGGGAGGAGATTGAGACATATCACTTCTTACCAAGCAAAGGATCATTCATTTTTTTATTACATGTAATAATGGCTAGCATTTATTAAGTGCTTACTATGTGCCAGACACTGTTAATATACTTAGTTCTCACACGGGACTCCTTTAGGACTCCTGCTCTCTCTTTTTAATGATATGACAGCTAATGCACAGAGAAGCTGACTAAGCAGCCCAAGGTCATACTTTGTAGAAACCCATGTTCTAGGGCCTGTGCTCTTAATAGCTATTATTTTTATTGTTCTACAATGAAAACATTAATATTAATGGAGCACTTACAATATGCCAGGTACTCCAATTTAATTTAATGTGCTTTAATTTAATCCTCACAATTTTACAAGGATTATTAATTTCTTATAGAAAAGGATACTGTGTCACAAACAAAGATAAGTGGTTACTCTGTGTCACTACCCAAGCTAGTGTCAGAGGCAAAACCATTTTATAACTCAGGCTGTCCGATCCCAGCCCTCTAGTCTGGTCCTATTGGGGTAGTGGCAAATTTACCATTACTGTTGTTTGTGTCTAGAAATAATTCCTTTCATTCATTAGTCTTTCATAAAAAGTACAGCAAAAATCTTAGTTTTGCAAATTTGATGACCTATCAGAGTTGTGTTGTGTGTGTGTATGTGTGTGTGTGTGTGTGTGTGTGTGTGTGTGTGTGTGTGTTGGTGGGGTCTTTTTTTTTTTTTTTTTTTTTTACTGGGTTCCATTCATGTGTATTGTCTTAGAATAAAGTGCATCTCACAGGAGGAACATTCTTTTAATTAATTTAAAAAATATTTTTAAATAGCAATTTTCAAATGTATGTAGAAAAAATAGAGTAACAATTTCTGTATACCTGTCACACATCTTCAACAATTATTAGTGCTTGGCCAGTCTTATTTCATCTATGGTACCAGCCACTTATTTCCACAACCATGTACACACCAACTATTTTGAAGCAAATTCCTGATATCACATTATTTTATCTATAAAACTTCAGTAAAAGCCATTGCAACAACAAAAATATAACAACTCAGTTGACTTAGTTTTGGGACATGAGCAGATTCAGAATCCTAGAATTTTAAGAACTAGAAGGTATATTACAGGCCATTTAAACTATTGTCAAACTTCTTAAATTCCTGTGCTCCATCCAGTCAAGTATGGCTTCAGCCATTGTCTCTTACATTGTTAGCTATATGTTTATTTAATTTTACTTTTAAAATGATTAAGTCACTTTAGGAAAAAAGACAATTTGAGATAGGAATTAGATGCAACGGTTCTCAACCTGTGGGTCATGAACAATGAAAAAACATCCTGCATATCAGATATTTACATTACGATTCATAACAGTAGCAAAATTACAGTTATGAAGTAGCAACGAAAATAATTTTATGTTTGGGGGTCATCACAACATGAGGAACTGTATTAAAGGGTCGCGGCATTAGGAAGGTTGAGAACCACTGAATTAGAGCAACATGGTTAGCATTCAAATAAGTCCTACTTTTCAAAATATGTTTTTATTGATTTTAGAGAGATAAGAAGGGGGAGAGAGAGAGAAATATCGATGTGAGAGAGACATTGATCGGTTGCCTCCTGCTTACACCCTGATGGGGGGATCGAACCTGCAACCTAGGCATGTATGTACCCTGACTGGGAATCACACTTTTGATTTGACAATGCCCAACCAACTGAGCCACACTGGCCAGGGCTCAACTTAGTTCTACTTCTTCAGCTTTCAATTTTTATCTATTTAAGTTTAAATTTTTTTCTCTCTAACTTTATATTTATTTTAACTTTTCAATTGAGATTATACCTTTTTCCAGACATGTTTGAATTTTTTTCCATTAGGCATAAGAATTTCAGCAGATTTATATTCCTTGACATTATTCAGCATATCCTTTCTGAGTTCTTCCTATGTACATGTTTCTGGTACTAAGTTTTGAGGAGGCATGGGAATTAAAAAGATGGTATCAGACTATCACAGAATTCACTATTTAATATATGCAAATTATCCATTTAATAAAATATATATTTAAACAATTTTTGTTAAATGAATTTCAGTTAAGGAAATCTTATTTCATGACTTCCAATTTAAAGTCAGTGAGCATGCCTGGCCAGTTTGTTCAATGGTTAGAGCATCAGACTGGGCATGGAAAGGTGTTGTGATCAATTCCCAGTCAAGGGCATGTACCTGGGTTGCACCAGTTCACTCCCTGCCCCTAGTCAAGGTGAGTGTGGGAGGCAACCAACTGATGTGTCTCTCTCCCATTGATATTTCTCTCTCTCCCTCCCTTCCTTCCATTCTCTCTGAAAAGCAATAGAAAAAATATCCTCGGGTAAGGATTAACCAAAAAAACACACCAAAATACCACTTTCCTAAAGCCAGTGGAGTAATGATGTTTCACTAGAAAGAAAGAAAAAAAATCACTTAATATCCCTATTTCCTGGCTCTCACTTGAATCTTTTTTGGAAAAATTATCACTGTAATCTTAAAACCCAAATATAATAATACTAATGTCCAATGTTAGATAAGTGAATTTGACTTCTTAAGCTTAGTATTAATCCTTTCTCATTATCTAGCTTTCACCTACCTTTTGAAATTTATCTTTTCTTCTTCATATACCCTATATCTGAGTAAAAAGTTATCACTGGTTTTTGCCCATAAATCCCGCATGCCTTTGCTCATGCTTTACCTATTGGCAGAATGGTACACAACTTTTTCTATATTTCTAAATTCCCTGTTTCAGGGTCTAATTTAAATGTCACCTATTTCATGTAGCCTGATCAAAAGCATAATGTACATTCATTATTAAATGTGCTTATTTCTTATTTATAAGAATATGCTAGTCTTTATATGGAAAAACAGCTTTAAAATAAAAGTAGAGTTAAATACTCAAATTTTCTATGGTAGACTGAAACACATAATATTTTATTTTTAAAGTTTTTAAAAAAATGTTACTGATTTTTGAGAGAAAGGAAGGGAGAGGGAGCGAGAGAAAGAAACACTGACATGATAAACATCAATTGGTTACCTCTCATACATACCCCAACCGGGGATCAATCCCACAACCTGGGTATGTGCTCTCACTGAGAAGCGAACCACAACCTTTTGCAGCACAAGATGATGCTCAACCAAGTGGGCCACACTGGCCAGGGACACATAATAATATTTTAAAATGTTACATTGTACTGAAAAAAGAAGCTGTAGCATACAGAATTAAATCATACATTATTTTGTTAGAAGTAGATGGTTATTTCAATCTGTCAAGATGATGTTCCATCAGCAAGGGCTTTTATTTCCCAAGGAAAACTCTGTAGGTCTGGAAAGAATAGCAGGGGTTACCTCAGCATCATTGTTTGGGGTACAGTTGGTTACAGCTCACCAAATAAAACGTGCCAAATATTTGGTATTTCCCTGTATTTTGATATAAAATGTTCTCAGTAAGTGACCTCTAGGATGTCTTAGTTCTAATTCTCAAAAACAGCCCTTTGTGTGGTCATTATAAATCAACATGGCTCTTCTTGGTTAGGAGCCCCCACGCCCTGTGCACCCAGCACCCTTACCAGAAGCCCCACAACCACCGCGCCTGCCCCCAGAAGCTGCCAGCACATCTCTGCCTCAGAAACCGCACTTGAAGTTAGCACGAGTTCAGAGTCAAAATGGCATTGTACTGTCATGGAGTGTCCTGGAAGTGGATCGAACCTGTGCCACTGTTGACAGCTACCATCTCTATGCTTACCATGAGGAACCCAGTGCCACTGTGCCCTCACAATGGAAAAAGATTGGAGAGGTAAAGGCACTTCCTTTGCCAATGGCATGCACTCTGACCCAGTTTGTATCTGGCAGCAAATACTACTTTGCCGTACGGGCCAAGGATATTTATGGACGTTTTGGACCTTTCTGCGATCCTCAGTCAACGGATGTGATCTCTTCTTCCCAGAGCAGTTAAACCTTGGACCCTTTCTCTCTTCTTCTTTGAAAAGTTCCACTTTTTGGTCTTATTTTAATCTTGTGCATGATACCCATTGTAAAAATCTACATTGTGCGAGATTTCTTGGACAGATGTGTATATACACTACGTTTGTTTATAATCAGAGAATAAAATAAACTTAGCTCATAAAGCAAGAACCTTTTCCTGAACAATTCAAGCTTCAAGGTTTTGAAATGTAAATGTGCATCTTCCTTTAGTCTTGAGGCTGGGGAATAATATGTTTGGGTGTTTGTGTGGTTTTATTTTTTTCTATTTATATATGTTTGTTGCAGTGGAATCTCCCATTTTCATTCTCAAATACCTCTCTTCTAGCATAAAGTAGAGCAAAGCATCTGAGGTATGTAACTGGCATGATTCTATTTCTAAGGGATCTGTAGTTTCATAGTTAAATGATTTAAACAGAATCTAAACAAAACCCAAAGAAAAAAATAAAAAGCTTAAAATAGGTTAATTTGAACACAGGAAAGGATCTGTTTTATCTTTTGTTGTCTCTTCTGGGTTGTTAAATAGGCGAAAACATCTAAATGACCCCTCCATTTTCTAATCTTACTTTTACATTTATTTTGTGCCTTAAACATTAACTGCAAAAATAAACATGGCCATTTGTCCATTGTTGTTTCTTTCCTTTCAGCTTTCAGCCCTTCATTTTTCCTTTATCTCCGCAAAATATAGCACACTCCCTCAAGTAAATGTTAAAACAAGGCTTTTATACATATTCTCATCAGTGGCATTACTATATCTAACTCCAAAATTTTCACTTGCTATTTTCTCCTAAGAATATAAATGCTTTTATTTTTGGTCACCATTTAAATTTACTTTATGTAAAGTAGACCAAGAGAAGACCGAACTGTGTAAGAAACTTTTCCTACAAAAATTTCAGTATCTGTGCTCACACGGTGTCAGAAATTATGAAAGCAATTATAGTTTATCACCCAAAGCATAATATTCTTTCAAAGGAAATAGTCAAATTTACAAAATACAGTGAGCTAAAATATTAAAGGGAAAGATACATTATCTCTTTATTCTTGTATCATTGTTCCTTTTGTTAACTTTTAACTTTGTTTTGATGGTGCCAAGTTTTGTGTAATTTATCCTATGTCAGCTTTGGATAGAATTCAAAGCATATCCTTTGGGGTCAGTTTATGTAACAATTAGATATAACTTAGTTCTCTGTTCCTCTTCAAAATTAATCAAAGTCAGCTTAGGTGTCCTGCATTTTCAATACGAGTGCGAGCTCTATTGGTATCAGATAGTTGAGTGTAGATAGTGTAGGACAGGACTTCCTGGGTACACTTGGGGATGAGAGTACGGTTGGGAATATTTTGAAAGGAATTCATGGAGTTTGTGAAATAATTTATCATCTTCCCTTATCATATTTGAATTCATATTTGTACCTTCTCAAATTATACCTCCTGAAATTATAGGAGGGAGCAATCCTCTCCATTAATGCTTTGTTTGCCACATTGGTGGCTTGAAACTGGAAGCATTCTAGTTGTAAAGTCTTTAAATAGACTTTCACCAGTCAGTGTATGTCATGTTATGTGTGAATTTTGGTTGATGCTGAAGAAAGCCTACAGGTTGCCAAATTATAAATGCTCCAAAACCTTCCTTTCACTTTCAGAAAATAAGGCCACATGAGAATTAAAGTTTCCATGAATCAAATTTGCCAACCATGTAGCTATTACTCGTTCTAGGACTAATGACGATGGTAAAGAAGTTGCCAATATCATGCCAATGAAAATTTCGAAAGGGAGATAGATATATATGAATACCTATCGATACCTGCATGTATATATGTTTCTACCTGCCGTGGATGCAACATTGATTATGTGCTCAAGATCATTCCTGTCTACAGAATAGAAAGCTCATGTTCAAAATTGTTCTTTATTGGCCTTTTTTTGGTCATGTGATAACAATTTGCCTACCTAGCCTTGAAATGGTTCCCTTGGTGAATGTTTCTATTTATAGTCACTAATCCCTTTTTAAAAGAGTTTTTGTAGCACTATATAATCCTGTGAAGAAAACCCAGTAGAATGCAAATATTTCATTATTTTAGTGTATACTGTGTTTTCTGTCAAAAAAATTTTCGAACAGTAACCTTAAAAAATATTTTGCTACAGTAAAATAACTTTTTATTTCTGATGGTGGGAGGAAGGTACAAAGAAATATTGTAATTATTTGAGGAAAAAGCATATTATAAATTGGCCTCCACAAATTAGTCTGACATGGGATTTGTAGGCAACAGCAGCAATATTGGATTAACTGAAAGGTGGTAGGCTAGAACTCTAGTCTTTTATTTGGGGCAGGTTTTAATGTTGATGGACACTTTTTATTCAGGAGAGAGAATGGAAGATTCAGCTAGAAATAGCTACTGATTACAGATTTTTTGTAGCAGTTCACACCCCATGATACCTTTTTTATTTTGTTGTGCCTTTTCACAAAGTATTACAAATAAGCTTGTTTATCCCATTTTGGGAATGCAAGTTTACTAAATTTTTTAGCCTGACAATACTTGTGTTAAATGTCACTTTATTGGAAATCCTGGAAATTTATGAAATTTCAACCCAAAATTGTTATGTGGCGTTTAAAGGTAACAGTGATGTTTGTTACTCTTTACTTTGTACTCTGTTAATTTTCGCCCTATTTAAGGTGTGAGTAAGCCTCTTTCCAAAATTATGTTATTGCCAGTAAATTTATAAATTACATACAAAGATAACATGTTATTAACAGTTAACTTGATGAGGTAACTATATCCCTCTATTTCTCTGGACTCACTTTTTAAAATATGCAGAATACTGTGTACTGTTTAACACAGTAGAAGTCAATGAGAAGAGTGAAGAGCTTTCTTCCTTGAAAGATATTTGAGGCACCATTTGCCTCACAGCGAGATGTTCCCCACTCTCCCCACCCCCAATGTCAGGTAAATGAAAGGTTGATTTGAAATACAAGTACTAGAGCAAGGAGCTTAGAATCTTAGGGGTACATTTCTACAGAACTCCTTAGGTGGGCTGCACCATACAGAATTCTCTTACTGTATTGCATAAGTGTTAGCTAAGTTTTTGTTCTCTTTTGGTTATATTTTCTGAATTATTTATGCAACAAGGTGAGTGTTAATATTGCATGACATGCATTTATCTTGTTCCACGAATTTCCCAGTACTATACAAGATTAACAAAATAATGCCTGTGGTATCGTCTTCTCTTGCTTTTATACATGTGATCTTAGCACTGTTAGAGTACTGCAAAAACCTTGGGTTATTTCAGTATCTTATGATTCATTCGTTATTTTATTATTGGCCAGTTGTTATTGGCCTGTTTTATTCTAATTTCCAGAAAAATCATGTCTCAGTATTAGATTATTGCATATAACTTTATCTAAAACCAATGTATGATTCTGCCTTCCTTACTGGGCAAATGATGTGTCCAGTCCTCCCACCCCACCTCCCCCTTTTTTTACATTTTGGGACAAAGGAAAAGATTAGAACAATTCTCATGAGGTGTTTTGTTAGTGTGGCAGACTTATGTAATTCCTAAAATCTGTTTCTCTTGAGCCAGCCAATGGGGAGGAATAGGACCATACAAATAGTTTTATCATGCTAAATAAGTTTTTTAATTTGTAGAGTCAGTTAAATACCAAGCATTTATATTTAAATGCTGTCTTTTTTATTTTTGTTTTATTTTGTTTGTAAATAAGGTAACTGGGCAATCAAACACCTTTTGGAAATCTTGGCTTTAGTATTTCATCAGCCATTTCAAAGTTAATATAAAAATACTTTGTAGGAAACTTGCATTCTGATTTTTCTTTATTGCAGTTGAAAGTGTAAATAATAAGACAATGTTAAGATCTTCCTAATGTTTAATATAAACCGGCTATAGCAAGTTGTCCTATTTTTATTAGGTTTTAAAGGTTTTTGTGTTTTTTTTTTCTTTTCTAAATGTACAGTAGACTGGTGTCTGTTTAAGTGTTAACTGTAGTGGGATTTGTCCAGCAAGCCTGAAATTTATACTTTGAAATAAACTATGGGTTTTTAACATTCTGAGTACTCTGATTCATTCTGATTATTCTTGCCCCTTGTGTTTGTTTCTTTCGAAAGTCACTCGCTTTGTTAAGGATCACTCATTAGACTGTACAGTATGGTTTATTTAGCCTATTTGACAGTACCACAGCACTAAAAGTACACACAGTTCTCAAACTTTGAAAGAAAAGCTATTACACAGAGTTGCTCTCAGATGAGATGTGCTGCTTTTCAGTAATGGGAGACAACATTAAGGTTTGCTATATTGTGTGCCTAGCCTGCACCACAAAAAGACTCAACTGATACCTGTTAATGCCAGAAATATCACTCCCTGAATTTCTGTAAGAGGTTCCATTGGAAACACAGCTCCACCTTTCCTTTGGGCTTTGTCACTAAGTATATCCAGCCAGGGAAGGAAGGGGAAAGAGCATGGAGGAGCACAGGTTCTTAGGGGCCAGGCCTGAAACAGGTACTCATGTCAGATTCCACTGACAAGAACTCGTCATGTGGCACACCTACCTAAGGGAACCTGGGATGTGTGGTCTGTGTGGCCAGGCATAAAAGAATATGGATTTTGATGAGTAAGGGAACAGTTTCTGCCATACCTTCTTTTTAAAAAATATATATTTTTATTGATTTCAGAGAGGAAAGGGGAGGGAGAAAGAGAGAGAAACATGGATGATGAAAGAGAATCATTGATTGGCTGCCTCCTGTATGCCCCCTACTGGGGATTGAGCTTGCAACCTGGGCATGTGCCCTTGACCAGAATCAAACCCAGGATCCTTCAGTCCACACAGGTCGAATCTCTATCCACTGAGCCAAACCAGCTAGGGCTGCCATACCCTCTTGTATATAAGTTTGTATGCTGAATTCTAGTATTGTTAATCATATGTAATGTTTCTTCTACAGTGAATGCTTGTTAACTACACAGTCAACAGTGGGGAATGACAGTAACAGACTAAATTTAATACGTTTTATTAAGACTAATTGTGAATGGAAAAACATAGCTAAAATAGTGCCTTTGGTATCTTATTTGCAGCCTTCTATTTTCTTATCGCCCTTCATTTTATGTCAGGTTTCAAAATTGGCTTCATGGTAATAAAATCAAAGTTGTAGGCCTCTGGCATGCCCTCATGGAGAGTGTTGTTGAACCGCTTCCAGTGAAAAACAGGGAGGCCACCTTGTACTGTGGGACCACTAATGGCATGTGCTGTGTACTCTAATGCTAGGTACATATCTGCCACCTGGAGAGAGAGAAGAGGTAGACATTTTAGAAAAACAATTTGGAAAAAAAATGGACTAAATCCCTATTTTTTCTCCTTCCCCTCCAACCCATTTCCAAAGTCACAATATTAGCCCCTTTAAAACAAAATCTTGCCAACTTCCACAATCTGCTATTCTGTCTTCATTTGGCATTCACATATGAATTGAATAGTAGGAGGGTATTAGCAATGTAGCCAAAGTGTGAGATCTGTAATCAACTACTCATAATCAAGATTCTAGCTCCAAAATTTATTAAAAAATAACCTCCATATGGCTCAGTTTTCTCAGCTGTAAAGTAGGCTGATAACCCTACTTCACAGAAGGGTTGTCATGAGGTTTAATGAAAGTAAGTGTTTGGTGCAGTGCCAAAAAAATGTTAATTTCTCAATAAAAGTTTTATTAATCAGTACAGTAGCAAGTTATAAAGTGGAGCTCAATATCAAAAAATGGCCATGGTTCTCAAAAACACCTAAACAATGGATAGCAGCAGTTCTTAACCTTAGAGGGGAAAGAAGAAAATGTCTCATAACTTAGGATTTTTCCTATATTCAGAATGGCTCAAGAGAAATGTTTTTAAAGTATATCCTCAACAGAATTTTTTTGATAAAAAATTGGCAGGTGTTTCCAGAAGAAAGTAAAATCTGACAAATGGCAGGTCGGCTTGGATTCTAGGCAAGGCAGCAGAGGGTAATTCTCTGTATATTCTGGAATGGATATAACATGTTACACACTTCACTGAATGTTTGCAAATGCCATAAAAAATAAATACAAAAACATTCATTGGGGCTTCATGTGTGCCAAGCACTGTATCCACTAATTTTCCCCCCTTTTAATTGAATTTATTGGGGTGATCCTGGTTAACAAAATTTATATAGGTTTTAGGTACACAGTTCCACAACTCATCTGTACACTGTATTGTGTTCACCACCCCAAGTCAACTATCCTTCTATCACCATTTATCTCCCCCATACTCTCCTCCCCCTGGCAATTCAGTGTTGTTCTTGTCCATGAGTTTTTTCTTTTTTTCCTCAATCCCTCTACCATGCCCCACCCAGCCCTCTAATACCCCTCCTCTCCAACAGCTGTCAGCCTGCTCTGTTTGTATCTATTTTGCTTGTTCATTTTGTTCATTAGATTCCGCTGTTTGTTTATTTATTTGCATTTCATAACATATTGAGAGTCATTAAGGCTAAAGTTTTGCCATCATCACATACCTATAATGTAGGGTGAGCTGGAACTCAGGCTATTCTAAAGCATCTCCTATTTAGGCTTTAGGCTGATAGGGGAAAAAAAATGTGTGTGTGTGGGGGGCGGGGCTGTTGACATTCTTACAGTTTCAGAGCTGAAGATAGAACAGAACTCTTCTCACAGATTTCTACCAGAAATTAGGACTGGAGTTGCAAATGAAAAGACACATGCCCAAACCAAAAGTACAAAAGGATGTGGTAAAATGATTCTCTCCACCAACTAAAATAACTAGCTTACCCCCTTGGATCTCCCAAACCCAGGAGTATCCAGGTAAATTTTTTAACAACTAACTCTCTGAGGGGGGAAAAAAGGCCCTGATTTGTAATGTTTGCTGATTTCCAGGGTGTAAATACTCCCACCATGGCTGAATTCAAGCTATCAACACAGTCAACTGATTTTAACAACTGGTCCTCATATCTATATGAGCTATTTCAGACCACCACTGCAAACACATTACTTATAAGATACATTATAGCACTTACCAATTCTAGCATGCTAAAAATTAAAAACCCTTTAATGATTTTGTGTCTGGTCCAATACTTGTTCCTTCATCTAAATTAAATTTCTACTTAATGTAAAATCACACTGCTCTCAATATATTCTTTGGACTTTGGGCCAGTCTGGAAAACTTTAGACAGCCACATTATTACCACCAACATCATGATGATGTGTACATTTTCAAATAACTCACTAAGTACTGTTCTAAACAGTCTATATATATTAAATGTTCTTCTCTACAGCCATATGAGGCAAGTACTGTTACTTCCATTTTACAGATGAGGAAACAGAAGCATTATAAGATGATGTGATTTACTATTAACAGTTAACTGCCACATGTCCAAAACAGAAACCATCCCCACATGCCATGATATTTTGAATTTAATTTAAAAACTGAATTTGCAATGAATATCTATATATATATATAAAAGGCTAATATGCAAAGTGTCCCCTCGGGAGTTCTACTGGGAGACTGGGAGTTTGATCACTCACTATGACGTGAGCTGACCACCAGGGGGCAGCGCGGAACGAAGGAAGGCCCTGATTGGCCCTGATTGCTGGCCAGGCCTAGGGACCCTACCTATGCATGAATTTCGCACAAGGCCTCTAGTTATAAAAATAAATATATTACTCACAATTCGGGTGTTCTTGAATGTTTTCAGCTGAAAATTCTCACGAAAAATTATTTTAAAGTTGGTCAGGGCTGCCACTTAGGGAAAACATTTTTTTTTTATAGACGCGTGTGGTGTGTGGGGAAGGTCTACCGCTTGCTCTACAGATGCTTATGGCGTACAATGGGTTAAGTGGCAGAGCAGGGACTTGAAGTTAGGCAATGGCACCTATCACCAGAATATCTGAAAAAGGTGAACCCTGAATCAAGTAATGGGTAGAAACATTGTTGTGCTCTATGCCACCAAAACCTTTGCAGCTTTGCCTTTAAATAGGTGTAGGTGCTGGTGGAAATTAAATTCAAAAGTCAGTAGCATGTTACCTTCGTATCATAGCAACCTCCAGGACTTGGGTCATATGGGTTCAGATCTTCACGGCAGCAGATGGTGTTGCACGGATCACCCTTACTGTAAGGATCCTTCTCATAATCTAGGAAACAGAGATTGGGACAAGAGTGAGCACAGACTATTCTGAGGTAACACTGATCCACAATACATTTTTTGGACCTGTTAAAAGCTAGATAATCAGTGAGGCCTCTGCAGCCCAGTGTGCGCCCGGATACAGAAGTCTCCTTTGGCTTGTACTAGGAAGAGGCAACTGTAAGTTCCCTGCTCCAGGCCCAGCCTGTTCTCAAGAACCTTGCACAGTGAAGAGTGGATGAAAGATTAACAAGATAAATGTGCATCAATTTTTTTCCACAAAATAATTACAAATTTGATTTTGATACTGTTAAAAAATAAAGTATTTATGAATAATTTTTGCTTTATTGGCTGCTTTTGTCCTTGGAAGGAAACCTGTGTTTGGGGGATGGGAGTGATAGTAAAAAAAAAAAAAAAGTACATCTTACGGGTTTTTCTGTGTTTCACATATAAGTTTTCAATTAAAAAAAAATCTATAGAATCTTTCCCCTGTCATTTTATGAAGGTGGACAAAATTTTATTTGTTGAGTATAAAATATGTATAATATGAATTGAATACAAAATACTTAATTCATTAACTTCTTATAATTCCTTCTAGTACAGAGATGATAAACTTACATGGATTCTTTATCCATGGGGAAGAAAAGGAGTTTTGAAGAATGATTCCTGAGAAATGTGCTACGTACTGTTGTATCGCATGATATATTTCATGGATGCCATGTCAGTCACTGTTCCTTGGTCACGCCGGAAGATTTTGGCTCGTGGAGCCAGATCATAAGAGTAGTCCAAACCCAGCTTCTGAACTAACAATGGATAGCCACTCCAGTTGTAGATTTTTTCATGAAAAGGAACGTTGTAGGAAGGCCAATATCCTGATTTGGAAGGGAAGGGAAGGAAGAGTGGGATTGACAGGGAGGGACA